TTTTTTTTTGCTTTTACAATATTGTAATTTATTTTCAATTTTATATGTACTATTTTTTTTTTAATAATATTTTATAAATTTCAATATTTTTTTGACTTCACAAAAAGATAAAACTATTAATATGCTAATTATTTATACTCGTTCTTTTAATTAAAAAATATATATATATGGATATATATATATTTAAATTAAAATAATTTAATAATTTAATAAAAAAAAAAAATAATTTAAATAATAAGTTTGTGATATCTATATCTATACATATATATATTATATATATTATTAGTGACATTTTCATGAACCTTTATCTATTTTCCTCTTTGATCTTAATTAAATCTTTGCAGCTTGCCTTTGAGCAATTTTAGCCTTAATATGAAAATATTTGTTAGTAAAAATATAAACAATGACAACAACAATAATAAAATTATATTAATTTACCTTGACAGCATCTCCACCAAATACCATACAAATAGTCTGCCAAACACCTAAACCAATTCTAGGTGTCACACCGCGAAAGAATCCTTTAAACCCGTTATTTTTATAAATATATTTAGCACAAGTAACAATTGTCATTTTCTCGGGTCTTCCTGGTGCTTTAACCTGAGATTGCATTTCTACTCTAATAACTTCAATAGGCTGTAAAAATAAATAAATTAGAATTAGATTAAATAAGTATTTTTTGATACTAATAAATTTGTCACTTACTTGATTCCAACAAGACAAACCCCCTCCGATGGCACTAGCACAAATTTTTTGGATTGGAGACAATGGTTTACTATAATCAGGTATCTCACCATCTCGAACCTTCCTAATTATGGTTTCACCTGCTCTTGTTAACCCAAATCTACTTGCCCAATTGGTACATTGTCGAAGTGCTACGGCATTTACACCTTTATTTATTCCACGAATACCTTCTCTTTTCCAGATATCAGCTGCAACTTTGATAGTTGAAACTTGTTGTCCTGCAGGAGCTTTATGACGAGTAACCTCTACAGTTTTCATAAAAGTACAAAATCCCATAGTGGTATAGGCTTGCGCTAACCCCCCTCCCATACCACCAACAATTCCGGCCTATGAACGGAATGTAAATATAAAATGAATCATTTAAACAAAATAAACCAAGATTAATTAGATTTTATATTTATATATATATACCACAAAAGGAGACGCACCGGCAACACGTGCTCTATATTCGACTTCACTGGCAGTGAAGATAAGTACTGCTCCCTGAATTTTAATAAAAAAATGTTAAATCAATTAAATTAAATAAATTAATCGAAAATCTTAACAAATAGTTATAACATACTTTTGTGCTAGCTTCAATCCAAGCCCACGGTATTAATCCTTGATAAAATCCTAAAAGACCACCTCTTTGATAAGTCTTTTTTGTAGCTGTTATGATATTATCACCTCGATTTGCTGCCAAATGAGTTTTTATAACTTCAAAAGGTTGACCAAGTGTAGTTACCTCAAACATGTTTAACCCTAAATTAAATAAATAAATTATCATTTATTACATATCCTTCAATTAAATTGAAACTTCTAGTTTAAATGAGCTATTTATGCGATATATCGAACAAAAAAATAAATATTCACCTGCACCTACGGCAAGGTTGATAAAACTAACAGGTTTCTTTTCTAAATTGCCATCTTTTTCTATAGGAACAGAAATACCAACTGGTGCCATACTGTGAAAAGATTACTTTAATGGAGGTGAGGACAGGATTTTTAAAAGATGAGAGAGAAAAAGGAAAGAGAAATAAGAGTATAAATATAAGATTAGATGTCCATCTTTTCTCCTTTGGAAGATTTTAAGTATGTATCTAGATCGTCAATCATCAAAAAAAATTTACCGATTTCAATATAATTGGGTGAAATTGAGTTACGCTGTGCATAACGCAATAGGTGCATCTATATTTACGGGCGTAAGAATTCTAATTCTGATATAATAAATTCTTGTTTATACAATGGTTTACATTAAGGAATGGAATAAATACCAAGAAGCAGTTGAAGAACTTTATTTGAATTCTCCAAAAGAGGTAAAGCATTTTTTAAAAATAATTCAATGTTCAGTTTAATTAAGTATTTATATTATCCATTAAATAATATATTATAGACGCGATATTTAACAAGTTGGCGTCATGGAAAATTAGTTTTAAAAGTTACGGACAATTTTACAGCATTAAAATATAAAACAGATCAAGCCAGCGATTTAAAGAAATTTGAACGTTTAAATCGATCGATGATGTTAAAAATGCAAAATCGAAAAGAAACAACAACTGAAAGTAAATGAAATTTTCCGGTAATCAAAATAACAAAAAATTTTTATTTTTTTTTATCATCGAAAAAATTCTTTAAATCTCTAACCATTCTTGCCTTATTATCATATAGACCTGGTCAATATTTATTGTAGATTGATTACTGGTTAATGTAATTTTAAAATTATAATAATTATTCTTAATAAAATATATAAAAATATATTGATCTTTGGAACTTGCAAAATTATTATTCTTTAAATATTTTGGTTGGTTGGTATTTCTTTGACAATCTAAAGATAATACTTGTGAATTAATAAAATTGAATAAAATATTTCAATTTCAAGATTTTTTTTGGTAATAAGTAGCTGTCATTGGCAAAAATAAATTATGTGAATTGTCTTTATTTTTGTTTGTAATTTTTTTTAAAAAAAGTTTTTTACTTTTCTAATTATTTTAATTATTTTAATTATTTTCTATATTTTGTTTCCATAAATTAATTATTAATTTTAAAAGATTAAATTAAATTAAGTCCATGCTATGTTCTATTCAGTAGATGATGATAAAGATTTCAATATCTTTTCACCGCTGGAATACCAATGCACCAATTCCGTATATTTTGTTGAATAGAATATATTTCTATAAGGAAGGCCGATACAATGTAAATGTAAATGATGAACACTATTATAAGGAGGAACGTGAAATCCTACTCTAAAATCAAATTATTGTATTAGTACAGATCACATCATTACAAATTATCCGAGAGAGAACTATATTTTATTACCTTCTTTCTGATAATTGATAACCGGATTCGGATAGAAGTTGATTCCCTGTATCAATCATATGTTTTACTAAATGGCACGCGAGATAATTATTAATTACCACTGAATATAAAAAAAAACATTAAAAAAAAAAAAAGAAACTTACATAAAGGAGCATCATTTGGTGTTAAAGAATCTACGTTATCTTTGAAACGAGAAAATATTTAATAACTAAATTAGTTAATTATAACAAGTTTTATTTTTAATATTTTCGTTTACCTATATGATTTCTAGGAATAATCAATAAATGTAATTTAGCGGCCGGACTTATATCATGAAATGCGACAATTCTTTCATCTTCATAAACTATCTTTTTGTCAGTTAGGTCACAAAATACACAATCTTGTGTGGTATCCGTAAAACAGGAAAAAAAATATTGCAACATTTTTTTTTATAAAGTTAATATAATACACAGTGAAATTCGATATAATGAAACCATCCGTTCCATTAGTAAAATTTGTTAAAAATTCGTTAAATCGAGAAATCCGTTATATCGAAAGTAAATTAATTATAGATTATGACAGACTTATGTTCAACGTTCTTCTGGTATATCTTAAGAAATGATCGTCAAACGAATTTTCCTTTTGGGTAATTTAGAACTAAGATTTATGACGTGATTTAAAATGTTTAAATAAACTGGCTGAAATAACAACGAACTTTTTTAAGATCTTTCATAATAACTTTTTTTAAAATAATGACTACTCTTTCAAGGTAATTTCTTGTGAAATTTTTAAAATATTTTTTTTCTTTTTACTCAAGATCTATTAAATTTTTGTAGATCTACTTTATATACTTCTTCTAATTCGAGTTTTTATACATTTTAGTGTTCTACCAAAGCCACGACAACAACTTTTAAGTTCGGAACAACAAAATAAGTATGAACGAAAATATGATGAACTTACATCTGTAAAGCCAAGGAAACAGCCACCTCCATATGGACAACGATCTGGTTGGAAACCAAAAACTCAGGAAGATTTTGGCAATGGTGGTGCTTTCCCTGAAATCCATGTAGCGCAATATCCACTGGATATGGGTCGCACTACAACAGTGAGTATAAGAGTTAATTTATATTATAAATAATTATAATAATTATAAAAATCAATAATATATCTAACATCATACGATAACTATCTCTACAAACCAACGTTTCTACCAACTATTATAGACCAAAAGCGTTGAATCGCTTGCATTACAAGTTGATGCTGAAGGAAACATTCAATATGATGCTATTGCGAAACATGGACATACTGAATCTCGAGTTATTCATTCACAATTCAAAGACTTGGTACCCCTCAATCAAAGAGCCGATATCGAAAAAGTTACTTTAGAAAGACCGGGCGAAGATGAAGTAAAAGAAACAACGGAAAAAACAAGAGAGGCGTTAGAAAAAATTGTACAAGGTAAATTATTTGCTAACATAACATGTCTTATAAGGATACCAGTAAGAAAATCATAGTGGTGTTGGTGACGGTAAATAATAGAGTGGATAAGCTGGATTTATTAGGAATTGGAATTTAAATCATCGTGATGATGAAAAAGAAAATGTGTTTTTTTAACGAGCTCAAAATTAACAACTATCGTCATTTCATCTAAAAATCGATGAATAAATAACCTGGAGTAGAAGACCTAGTTTAATTAGTGGAGATTCGTCGACAATCAGGAGAGGCTGAGAGTCTCAGCCAGACTCCTTCATCACTGCGACAACCATTGAAAATTTATATAATCTGTGATCGAAGGATGTTAGGTTTCGCTTTTGAAATAAGGACGAAAAAAAAATGAGAAAAAAGAGTAATATTATAATGACAACTTCCGATTTTTTGCGCATAATATGGAATATTGAAATAATTATTTAGTGTTTAGTTGATAGATTACGAATAGGGAAAGGACCTGAGGAAATTCGATTAAAATGGTATAAATATAATGATTGAAAGAGACTTGATTATATGCAGGCTTAAATTATGTTTACCGTCCCAATAATATAAGATTGATAAAAACATAATCAATGCGAAATTATGTTTACATCTAAATTATCTGAACTTGGCAGAATATAATTAAATAAAAATCTCCAAGTGCAATTGTCGCTTCAATTTATTTATTATAATTCTCGATTTTCTAGGCAAAATAAAAGCAGCACAGCCTAAAAATGTAAAAGTTAATAAACCGTTAGAACCAACATATATCCGTTATACTCCTGGACAGCAAGGTGAAACTTATAATTCCGGAGCTACTCAGAGAATTATTAGAATGGTGGAAATGCCTGTTGATCCAATGGAACCTCCGAAATTCAAGCACAAAAAGATTCCACGAGGTAAGGTTTAAATGTTCTCTATATTCATAAAAATTTGTGAGTAATCCACTACAATTTTATTAACTTTTTTTTTTATTATAGGTCCACCATCGCCGCCGGCACCAGTTTTACATTCTCCTCCTCGCAAAGTTACTGCTAAAGAACAACAAGAATGGATTATTCCACCTTGTATATCTAACTGGAAAAATGCGAAAGGATATACTATTCCACTTGACAAACGTTTGGCGGCAGATGGACGAGGGTTGCAGGAGGTTACAATTAATGATAACTTTTCAAAATTATCTGAGGCTCTTTTTGCTGCGGATAGACATGCTCGTGAGGAAGTAAAACAGCGTGCTTTGATGCGAGATAAACTTGCTCAAAAAGAAAAAGAAGAAAAAGAAAAACGATTACGTATGTTAGCACAGAAAGCACGAGAAGAAAGGTATGCAACTAAAATTATTTTCTTTGCATATAAATAAAAATATTAAAAGTTATACTTAATAATAGAGCCGGTATATCTTCAGCCTCTGGAGGAGCTACTGGAGCTGTTGCAGAGTCGGAATCGGAGTCTGAATCCGATGAGGAAAAAGTGAGAGAGAGAGAAGAATTAAGACGAGATCGACGGAAGGAACGTGAGAGAGAATATAGACTTTCTAGAATGGGTGCTGAACAAAGGGCAAAATATCTTGCTCGGTAAGATATCCTTTTGATATTATTTGATAGTTACCAAATTAAAGTAAATTTTAATTTTATTATTGTTTTTGTTTAGTGAGCAAAATAGAGATATTTCAGAAAAGATTGCTTTGGGATTGGCCAAACCAACATTGAGCAAAGAAAGCATGTTTGACGCTCGATTATTTAATCAATCTGAAGGTCTTGATTCTGGTTTTAAAGATGATGAAGGTAATTATTACATTTTCAATTTTATAAGTTATAATTTTCTGTCTTAATTTAATAACAATATTGGTTTTTTAAATAGCTTATGATCTTTACGATAAACCGCTGTTTGCCGGTGCAAGTTCTTCGAGCATATATAGACCTAAAAAGGAATACGATTCGGATCTGTATGGAGGTGGGAATGCTGAGAGCGTTAATAAAATGCTTAACGTAGACCGATTTGGGATTACAAAAGGTTTCCAAGGGGCTGACACCGCCCATGTAAGTGAAGTTCATTCAATATTCCTTCCGAATCTTAAATTTTAAGATAGCTAATGATAATATGTTTTAATTTACAGTCGAGGGACGGGCCTGTGGAATTCGAGAAAGAAGAAGCAGATCCGTTCGGTTTTAATCAGTTCTTGGATGATGCTAAGAAAGGGAGTAAACGCGGGTTAGATACATCGTAAGCATTTGTTTGTTATAGTCGATTGATTTTAATTTAAGTGTTTTAATAAATGTTAACGTTATTTTACTATTTATTAGAAAATCTGAAAGTAGCAAGAGCAAGCGTGGAAAATACTGACCAAACCACTTCTATCCAACCGACATCGGTAGTCCTTCCTCAAAAAGGATTCGGATTGGTAATAATTTTTGATGATTTGGGCTTTAAGAGATGATAATGGCCGTAAAAAGACATTTTTTACTTAGTGATCGATTATATAATTGTACTTACTAGGTGTGTGTATGATTTTCTGTAAAAGCAATCTAGTTTAATAGTTTCTTTGGTTGGACAAAATTGACAGAGCTAGTGTAGATACACTTTTGTCTAGTTAATGATAATGAGTGGTGTTTAGCTTTTTTCCAAAGATCTAGATCTTTAAGCTTCAAAAAATTTACTAAGTGAATTTCAGACATAACGTAATATTTTGTCACGTTTCACTTAGATTTGTAATAATAATCTTAATTCATCATGATGAGCATTTGAAAAAAAAACTATTTATTTGTTATATTATAAATTTATATTTACATGATTAACATAGAAACAAGAATTATGCACAGTTTAAATTAGTGTCGGACAACGGAATTTTTTTGGAATCAATAAAAATATTTTTTTTTTCTACATAAATTGATCAAATATATATTTTTTTTGAAAAAAACGTCTCGTTGTTTACCTCTTTGCCGTTGTCAGTGTAACGTCTAATACTGCTCGAAGTTATGACAGACGCACCACCTACACAATTTGCCTGCAAGTTTTTATCGTATATTAACATATTATGATTCCCGGTGTTTTTAACAAATAACTTAATAATTCAATAATTCTTTTGATTTGCTCAACAGATCGTTCGGCTAATAATTTAGGTTTAGTTTTTGGACACCCAACTTACGAACCAGTAGCAAATTTTGAAGAGTAGATATTTATAAAATTAGCGTTTTGTATGTGTGTTTTTTTTATTTTATTTTTACAAATCACCTTCAATAGCCCAGGTAGCAACGTCAAAACTTTTCAATATAGTAAGGATGGTGAATATCTTGGTTGTGCTTTACCAGAAAGGTAAATAGCTGTTTGTAACGTCAAATCTGTTAAATTCAAAATTACTTATTTAATACTTTATTTTAGCGTAAAAATATTTGATGCTGAAACTGCTCAACTTGTGAGTGAAATTCCGAAGAAACAAATTGTTGAAATCGGATTTTCACCAAAGGGAACATATATTTCCACTTGGGAGCGTCCAGGTAGTTCATCGATCTTTTTTTTTATTGCTGATTGTACTGATCTAACCCTTTAAAATGCGTATTAGTTAAATCGGCAGATGGATCGGTTCATAAAAATTTAATTATCTGGGAAGTAATAACTGGAAAACAATTGATTTCGTTTACCCAAAAAAGTCAAAACAATTGGTTAGTTAATTTTTCGTTTGTAATTAATATATTTTGTATGTTTGGTTAAACACATTAATTTGTTATATTATTTACATACAGGAATGTTCAATGGACTGAAGACGAAATGTATTTTAGTCGAATGGTTACTGGAGAGGTTCATTTTTACGATAGTAAACGTTTGGATGAGGGGATTACTAATAAATTACGTTTGGAAAATATTGGCGATTTTTCCATATCACCTGGGAAGAGTGCCTCTATAGCTGTATTTATTCCCGAAAAAAACGTAGGTTATGATAAGTTTTACTTTATGACTATTTCTGTATAAATTGTATTCACTTTTTAATATAATTTATGTGTTATAGGCAGCACCTGCTATCGTTCGAATATATTCCATTGCCAATTTTAAAGTTCCTTTGGCACAAAAGACATTTTATAAAGCCGACAAAATTCAAATGAAATGGAATGATTCGGGTACTAATTTATTAGTTTTAACCCAAACTGATGTAGACAAAACGAATAAATCATACTACGGGGGTAAATACATTTTAATATATTTAAGTTGTTTTAAAAATATATATAAAAAAACTAAATTCCTTTTGATTTTTAGAGACAAATTTGTTCCTTTTATCAGTGACAGGCAGTTACGATTGTCGCGTTATGCTTGGTAATCGAAGGATTTTTTATTGGCAGGATACGAGTAGTCATAATTAATTATATTAATGTTTTTTCTATTAATTTAATAGACAAAGAAGGTCCGATCCACGATGTTACATGGGGTCCAAGTTCAAAAGAATTTGTAGTCATCTATGGATGTAAGTAATATTAGTATATGTTTTTTTCTTTTGACAAAATTTTTAAAATAGATAATTTTTCTTAAATAAATTAGATATGCCTGCAAAAGCAACGTTATTTGACCATCGGGCAAATCCCATACATGAATTTGGTACTGGCATATTCCGTAACACCGTTAGATTTAATCCTCAAGGACGATATATCCTTTCTTTATGTCGATGCAAACCTTTTTATATATTGAATTATAACGTATTAGAACTTTTAAAATGACCTTAATTCTTTTATTTCTGATTTTACTGGTGTTCATAGCTGGATTTGGCAATTTGAAAGGAGAAATGGACATTTGGGATCGTAAAACATTGAAAAAAATAGCAGAAATTGAAGCTCCCAATTCATCTGAAAGTTCCTGGTCGCCAGATGGGATATATATTATGACAGCAATATTAAGTCCACGACTTCGAGTAGATAACGGTTATAAAATTTGGCATTATACTGGTAGTTTAGTGCATAATCAGAATATCGATGAATTATTGCAGGTTAGTTCTTTATTTTAGGATGAAAAAATTGAAATGTTTATTGAGCATGTTATTAATCGATAGATACAATGGCGTCCTACAAGTGTTGAATTTTATCCTCTGGCTGATTTGCCTCCAGCACCTGAAATAACAAAGGGTCTCGCGTCCCCAACAAAAACTGCACGTAAGTTTGTTGCTAATATACAACTTAATAATTTATCACAATTTTATTTATAATACAATGTATATTTGTTTTTAATACCAAGCAGCTACAAAAGCAGGTGCATATTTACCACCACATGCACGTGCTCGCGGTGCACCAAGTGCTGTCAAGGTATTCTTTTGTTCTCATTCCATAAACGTAATATATTAAAAATGCTTATTTATTATTCGTTAACATTTCGGATGAAAAGGTTCATGAAAATGGAGCTAAACCCGTAGGATCTAAAAATAAAAAGAAACCTAAACAAAAAAAGGAGGAAGAAGTTGCAAAAGAAACTGCTAAAGTTGATGAGACAGAGAATAAAGGTCATATTCTTAATGAATTTCCCGATTCATTTATAAATTTTCTATTAACATTTTTCAAAACTCTTTAGATCCAACATCACCGATAATAAGTAACGGTATTAATAATATTAATAATTCTGTTGACACGGTAAAATCTGATTCTGCGAGTCAATTATCGGAAAAGGATAAAAAGATTCGAAATCTGACAAAAAAATTAAGACAAATTGATGAACTTAAAGAGAGACAAAAGAACGGTGATAAGTTGGAACAAACACAGGTATTATCAAGTAGATTTATTTTTCTTATAATGTAAATGGTTCTTTTTTTTATTTAATTTTTATTTTTTCTTAATTTAATCAGATAAAAAAAATCGAGACTGAAGCAACATTACGGAAAGAGTTGGACCGTTTGAATCTTCAATAGATTATATTTTCAAAAATTAATTAAAAAGTACATAGTACATAATAATACTAGTAAAGATGTGTCACAAAGTTTTTCTAATTGATCTTAATCGTAAATAGAAATTAATTAATTTATGAATTTTTTCATAATCTTTATTTTAAAAGTTTTTTGATAAATATTTTTATTTGTCAAAAAACAATATTAGTATTTCATAGGCAAATCACCGCAGTAGCAATAATTCTGGTGAAACATTATCGTATCACGTACATCGAGGTTTTTTTAATAAATGGTTATTTCATAGAAAAACTTGTATGATATTTTTGTGGCTGTTCCTTTATAAAAAAAACATTTTTTTTTTTTCATACTATGTAAAAAAAAATTGATTTTATTCTTTTTTCTCAAGAACTTTATTTCATAACGAGCATTCTTGACTGAATAAACTTTTACTTATATAAAATTCTTTAGTTCCTATTTAATAGAAATGGAAATAGTTCGAATATACTTGAGTTTTTTAGTTATTATAAGTTTATTGAATTTTACGTGTGTGGCTGAAGTACCTGGAGTATATTTTGATCGGTACGTAATTCATACGTTTTGAATGTTAGGTATTATTTTTTATTAAACTCTTTTTTTTAAAAAAATAAATAGTATCATAACGTATGTCTTGGGATCAACTGATTACGAAGACGCAATTAAGGATCCGTATTTGTCGTACCTTGTAAGAAATATTTTCAAATTTTTTCAATGTTTGCAGCATAAATAAAGTTATCACAAAAAAAAGGTTTAGGTTCTCGATTAATTGTTGACATTTCTCCTTTTATTTTAGTCTAAGCAAGGGATATTATTAAAACATATACATGGAATATGGCATCCATCACAACCAAATTATATAGCAATGATATGTGCATCAAAAAGTGGGATGTTAACAGACTTTTCACAAGATCTAGGAGGACCTTCATTACCAGAATCATTAGAAGAAAAAGGAATTACATGGAAAGCATATATAGAAAATTATCCTGGTGATGGATTTAAAGCAGATGTATCAGAAGATAAATTATATGTTCGTAAACATAATCCATTTATTTCAATGAATAATATAAGAAATAATTTAACATTGGTATCAAAAATTGTTAATTCATCACAATTAAAACATGATTTAAAAAAAAATCAAGTTCCTCAATATATATTTTATGTACCAAATATTAATAATAATGGAGAAAATACTAATTTAACATACGCTAGTAATTATTTAAAAAATGAGTTTATACCTTCAATTCAACATTTATTAACTTCTACTAAAACTCTTTTAGTTGTAACTTTTGATGAAGCTTCTACTTATCTTGATTTTAATTTAGCAGATTTTAATCATGTTTATACTGCACTTATTGGTCCTAATGTATTAAAATCTTTTATACATGAAGATGAAACAAGATATAGTCATTTTAGTTGGGTACCTACAATTGAAGCGAATTGGAATTTATCATCTTTTGGTAATGGTGTTGATACTGATGTTGTTTCTTTAGACTTTAATATATTAATGTGAATTAAATGGGAAAAGGTGAAAGAAGGAGAATAGAAGGGTGGAAAGGGAAAATTTTAGTTTCTTTGAAAGTAAATAGGATTTTGGTGAAAGATAATTTTATTATTATAAATTTTTGTCATTTTTTCAATAGCCTTTTTTTTTTAATACGAGAAATCATAAATTTAATTTTTATATTAAACAATCATATAAAGAAAAATATTAAAGGGATTTAGATATAAACCATTTATTCACATACAAAAAAAAAAAATAAATAAACATAAAAGTTCTTTCACATTTACTCATTTTTAATTTTACCCAAAGAATTATAATCTTTAATTTTCCAAATTCCTAAAAAATAGTTTAACCTAATAATTGATAAGTCGATAGCCATTTTTATAGAATCTTTTATAAGTGAAACTTTAGAACCATCAACTTCATGCCAAGTAACAGATACTTCTACAATAGGCATATTAAAATATTTTGCTAATAATAATACTTCAATATCAAATATCCATCCTTCTACATGCATATTATTAAAAATATTTAATGCAGCCTTTCTTGTAAATAATTTAAACCCACATTGTGTATCTTTTATTGTTCTTATTCCTAATATATATAATACTTTATGGAATGAATGCATTAAAAAATTTCTAATAAATGATCTCTGCGTAAACAAAAAAAAAAAGTTAAATTGTGTTAAAATGTGATTATTATCTATGTGTGAAGGAAAAGGATTATAAAAGTTTACCTTAACTACGGCTTCAGTTTTTACTAAATGTGCCCTAGAACCAACAGCTACCCCATATCCTTCTTTTGATATAATTTTATTTAATTCCCTTTCTAAACAATCTAAATCGGAAAATTTTGTTGCTCCATCTGCATCAACAAATAAAATGTACTTTCCACTGGCACATAATATCCCCTAAATATATATAAAGAATAATTAAATTCCTATAATAATTCATCGATTAATTTAATAAAAGAAAACTTTCCCAATAATAATAAATAAAATACCTGAGTAACAGCTCCTCCTTTTTTTCTATTTTTTTCCAAAGTTAATACTTTTAATTCAACATTTTTATTAGATTTAGAAAAATCCAAAGCATAATTACTAGTACCATCATTACTGGCATCATCAACTATAATAATTTCGTATGAAAAATTTTTATCCGAATTTTTACGATTTTCTAAATGTTCTACTGTTTCTTCTAACATATTTGGGATTCTCTTTATTTCATTATATGCTGGTACAATAATTGAATAAGTATATTTAGGTGGTTCATCATGTATACTAGGCAACAATTGTGCTTTATCTGTATTAGAACTTTTGTAATATTTCTCACTTTCAGTTCGTGATCGTGGTCGCGGTGATGATACGATTAAACATATTATACATATTATCAACTATAAAAGATAATTAAGAGGTTAATAGGATTTGATTAAATTAATAATAAAAATTGCATTTGATTTTTTTTTTGGAAGTTATACAACTTACAACACGATTAGGAATCGTGCAAAACCATACTTAAGACTTACTCCACAAATTGCTACAATAGCGAGCATTATTAAATTAATTAATTCCATTTTTAAAGATTTTGTAAACCAAGGAGAATTTTTATCATATTTGCAAATTTAACGCATGGGAAGAATCTAAATTTTGTTGTTTGTGAAATATATCATACATATATACATAATTGCCGATCTTATCAGTTTACTGATAAAAAACACTACGAAATGGTCAATGGAACAATAATTTGACAAATTGCACAGATTCAAATTCAATTTATTGAATAATGATAATATGCTACGAAAATAAATATATAGAAAGTAACAGTGCAAATAATTAACAGTCAATTAATGTAGCTTCTACCAATTTAATCATGAATAAGCCTGTAACAGGACGGATCCGGGCTTGCAAATTTTATATCCAGAATGCAAATCCATATATAAATTTTTGTTATTAAAGCTTATACCGGAATTAGCAAATTAAAAAATAGGCCTGAAGCAACTTATTGAAAATATCAATTGCAAGCTTATGAGGAACAAATCCAGTTGCCATTATTTTGATATTTTTGGAATATATTCTGTTAATATTAAGAAAGAATTAATAAATATTTTAAACATTTAAGTAATCAATTATCAATTACCATTCTCTTCTAGTAAAACTCCACAATTCTCGCTGTCTGTAACCCATGAAGAACGCACATAATATGGTGATATTTTACGCCTGCAAATTTAATATTATTGAATTATGAATTAATATATAATAAAATGAAATGAATAATAATTAAATCATACTTTTCATGAAATTCCTTTATTTCATTAAATCTACTTAAGTCTTTTTCGTCAAAAATTACATGGGTAATTTTACTTAACGAAAAATCGGAGACAATTTGAGCGTCATGGTAACGAAGAGTCAATTCAATAAGCTTCAACCTATTTAATATTACATAATAAAATATAAATATACAAACTACCACGAATTATATAATAAATAATATTGAGGTAAATCAACAAACCTATCACGACATCCTTCATATAAAGCCCATAATTTGTTTATATTTTCTAATGGTGGCGGATAATCGATATAAACTACACAACGACGAAATAAACAATTTGGTAATCCAGTATCTGCAAAATAACGTTCCTCGATCTCGTCAGCTAACTTTTGACGCTTTGGATAATTTGAAAAGATAGTTTCTTCATCCAAGGGCATTAAATCAAATGTCTTAAATCATCAAAAAAGATTTACTTTTATTTATTTATTTATTTTTTTAAAAAAAGCAAAATTTTGTTAGTATACCTCCTGCAAATCTTCTATAGTAACTTCATCCGTATAACTATCTCCCCATTCGTCCATCCTTGTCAAAAATTCTTGTTTTGTTGATTCAGTAATAAATACCATATATCTACATTATAAGATAATTTGTCTTTTTATAACGCAAAATTTGAAATACAGTATTAACAATTTAAGTAAAAAAAGGTTTTACGAACTTTGGACTCAAGGGGATCAGCTTTAACGCATCAATACATTCCGTAATCCATCTAGGATGAATTATATCTCTTACACCTTGGCTGATAAGATTTTTGACTCTAAAGTCTATAGTAATATAAATAACTCACTAAGTATCTGCAAAATTAATGTTGAATATATATAGCAATAAATAAATAAGTTACTTGATGCGTCTTCAGCTATTAAATGAATTTCAGAATCAGAGCCAGGATGTTGAGAATAGCTACCTCCGTGTTCTTTAATCATACGCTCAAAATCTGATTTTGTATATTCTTTATATTTTGTCAACATTATGTCTATACGAAATATAAAAAGTTTTAACGTGTTATTATTTGAACAATCATGAAAGATTTAAAAGATTGAATAAAGTAATTCTCTTACGGAATTTCATATCTTTAAATATCATGGATTTTTCTTCTACCGGTCCTATATTGGAAGTAAAGGTTTCAAGCATAGTGTATTTCTTAACCTAAAATAAACAATAAATTAAATGAACAAATATAATGAAAAAGGTTAAGTAAAATCTGAACTGGCCTTACTCTACGTGGTGCTGCCGTCTTTCCTTTTCTCTTAACGGCTCGCGCGGTGGTACTAATTTCATCAAATTTAGATTCTCATTAATAATAATTATAACCATAATTTTACATTTTTGTTAACTTACACTAAATCATCTTCGGTAACTTTTCTGGACTGCAATCGTCCTGATGCCTGTCTGCGAAGGTTCATCATTTCTTAAGATAAATTAAAAAATTTAATATAGATACGATTAATGAAATAATTAAGTTGAGTAACATACCTTCATAATTCATTGCACTTTCCCAATCTTTATCCTCGCGAATTTTCTCAAATCGAGGAAATCTAAGCGTATAATTGGAAGCAAACTGATCTAATAATTTATATCCAATGAAGTTAATTCAGTGACATTTTATCTCATTCTCGAGCATTAAATTTGTAAATCGCAAATAATTACTTCCAGCAACAATTTCAGCTGCTTTAACTTGTACCACTAATGAACTAGACATTGATCAAAATCAAATTAGTAAAACTCACAATCAATAAATTCTCAACAAAAGTAAAATGTAAATGTTACTTTTCCGGATGAATTATCATATGAGGCTTGTCTTTACCAAGTTCAAGCCAATCTGGATGATTATTTGGGTCATATCGCTGCCAACCTTCATAATTATTTCTATGAACAATGTTATCAATTTAGTGGTAAACTTTCTTCAAACTTCAAGTAATTTTCATACATGTCACTTACTTAATATCTTCAGCTTCTTTCATCGTCTGACCAGTTCCAAATCGACAAAATGATATAAACCTTATAAATAAAATTTGAAACCCCGAATTTTAATAAGCATGTACATTTATTACAATAAAAAAGTTGTCTTCAAATAAAATACAACTTTGGGTTATCATCTGACGATGTTGAATCTCTTAGGCCACACATAAAACTGCCGAACATATTTCCACGTCTTCCGGCGCCAAAATCCGCACCTAATAATTTTTATAAATAACCTCATATAACTTATATTACAGAAATACCTATAAACTTACCTATAACTAACAAATCTAAACTATCGCCAAGGGAATCCAAGTACTCGGGCTTTATCTTAACCCAGTCATCAATCCTTTCATTAAGGACATATTTACTGGATGGTTTCTTAATGATAATTCCTTCTTGCCTATTTAATTAAAATTTTTAAAGTTAACACTATTATATATTTAAATAAAGTTTATTATACTACCTTTTCATAACAGCTTCATCTAACGCATCAATTAAATCCTTAGCCGTGCTGCCTTCTTTGTGACTAAGGAGTCTCAGGTATCCTGGTTTTTCAGTAACCAACGTTTTAAGCCATTCGTTTCTTTTCTGTAATGGTTGATCAATTACTGGCTTGTCATTGATTAAGACAACATCAAATACTACGACTGTTCAATATAATTATGTGTTAAAGCATGATTATAAAGCCCTAAAGATCAGAATATCACTAAAAAAGCATACAACAAGGTCTTTCTTTATTTGGGTCATTGGAGTGATCTTATCATATAGAAAATAATAGTTAAACATAAGAAATTCGAACATTAACTAAAGAGATAATATTATTATAAATACCTTTCCCGGCGGTTTTCAGAGTTCCGAATGGCTTATAGATATCTAATAAAGGATCATATACTACCATCTCTCCATCCAGAATAATACTATTAAAAAATTTGTAAAAGATGTCAACTGAAATTTTTGTTTTGGTAAAAAAATGATTTTAAATCAATATTGTTTACTTCTTAACACGCGGATGAAACAATTCAGCTATATATGGCGTTAATGAACCTTCAAATTTACTACCACCATATAAATAAGTATACTGTGTGGCTCTCCTAAAGAAATAGTTTGATATGAGGAATTTATCTTGATTATTACTTGTCTTTTTATTTAAAGTTGTAGCCTACCTTGAAAAATATTCAAATCTCCCATCTTTCATGTGTAATTGTACTCTTTCTCCGTCAATTTTCTCTTCTATCCAAAAATCACCACCCATAGTCTTAATAACATTCTGAACAGCAACGGGTTTAGAAAGCATAGGTTTGAATGGATGATAAAGAATAATATCCTATGGAAAAAAAAAGAAATTAATAATAAAATACGAGTTTTCGATAAATTTATATGTTCATAGTTCATCTTTATACGTACCGATATTTGAAGTCTAGTGTGAGGATCACTTAGATCTTCACAAACTTTTCTCAAATCGCTACAAACATTGAAAAGATTAGAAGCATCGGGATGAAATAATGAAAATATTGATTTTTCGCTGATTCCAATCTTGAGCTCTAAAAATTTATAATTAATTAAAAAAAAGGATCGCCTTATTACATACTTAAAAACCTTCATCGTTAAAGATATACCTTTTAAAATTATCCTTATAATCCATTTTTGTTCCATGGCAGTATAATCGTTAAAGAAATGTCGTATTACTTTTTGGTATTCTTGTCTTCATTTTTGAAAAATTTAATTATGATTAATTTCAAATGAACGTGAAAAAAAAATCGAGAGTCAAGATTATAACATACTTTCCGCTAGCTGCATTTAAAACATCAAGTTGATAATTTACATCTTCAATGGGCATTGTTCCACGACCAACAACTGTAGATCGAGGAGAAATTACTTCAAATGCTACAGATGCAAAATCACCAGCAGTTTTCTATTTGCATACCATCATATAATTAAAATTAATTTATTTAAAGTAATACCAAAGATACTGAAATTTCAAATGATTTAAGTCATACACTTCTCGAGCTTCCAGGCATCTTCCAATGAATTAATCTTTTAGCATAAACAGAATCTTTGGCTAATCCCATGACAGATATATAAGTTTTGGCAAGAACCATCTCTTTCATACCATAATTCGTTCTTTCTTTGTCAAGCTAAAACACAGATAACAAATTCAATTAAACATACATATCAATTTATATAAAAGACATTAAATATTCATCTTTATTAGAAAAAAAATTACATGTGGAAGTAATAGACGCATAACAGGATAAAAATCATTTCCATATTTACTACGATAATTCTATCCGGAAAATTATTAGCTTTATCGAAGAAATTAAAATCATTCAAAGGCTTAAAAAGAACTTCCTCTCACTTGTATAAATTTTGCACACTTTTTCTTTTTCGCGTCTCCACTCTCTTTAGAAACTACTTCTAAGAAACGGCAAAAGTCGCTAAATAACAGAGTTTCAGAAGTTAACACGCCTGTTTGAGTTAAAGAACCACTTTGAGTCGCTTGGTCTAAGATAGAAGTCATATTTTCTAAGCTATTTTGCAAAACATAATATTCTTGGACGGTTATAAATTATTTGAATGTATACCAATTTTCTAACAGTGAATCATTATTATTAACGAACATCACGTGCTTTTTTAAACCACCCATATATAATGTGGTCTAATCGGTAGATTGATAAAAAAAATTTTTTTTTTCTCTTTTTTTTTCTCTTTTTTTTTCTCTTTTTTTTTCTCTTTTTTTTTTCTCTTTTTTTTTCTCTCTTTTTTTTTTATATCGGACAAAAGTTTAAAAATAATGATTGACATTTTATGATAAGGTAAATTACGCAATTCTTTATCATCGAAGACTTCATTGAATGATGATATTATTATTCTTTCCCCATCTTATCGACCATGAGGAAAAATGAAAGATTTACTTTAGCCAGTACCTGTCTGAAATAGCAAATATAAATAAATGATTAAAAACTCTTTAGCTTTAATACGCTTCTCTAATATTTGGTTTTTTTATTATGTATAGGTGTTATTGTACGTTCTTTTAAAATATTTGGTGAGTTGATATTTAGTTTCTTGAGTGTTAGAGAGGCATGATGATAAAATTTCGTTTGATTCGCAGTTTCCACCGAAAGGATAATAATACCTTATGATGGCAAACAATCCTTGGATGTCTGACCTCTTATATAATCTTTAATTATTAATGTTTGTGTTGTTTATAATACTAACTTTCACACTTACTCTTGACCTCTAAAATCTTTTGTAATAGATTCACTTTTGGTTGGTAAGATCTTCCGCGAGATATGAAGATACATTCCGTTTTATTAGCAGTTTCCATCGAAAGATTTTGCTCCCCAAACGTATCTAAATAAAATTTATAACAAAAAAAGGCCTGTGTATTTGACAAAAATCAAGGTTAGTTTATTTATTAAGTATTTACCGATTTTTGATATATGAGAATATTCTTGAGAGAAATGACGAAAATACACTGAATATTGTTAACGATAGGAATTGCCGTCAGAACGACACATGTCTTGATGAGACAAGGTTCTCTGATCTCTTGATCATATTCTTTTACAGATAAATGTAATACATTAATTTATGATAATATTACTAATTCATTTTGCATTTATTTTTTTCGGTTATATTAGGAATAATATTGGGAAGAGAAATCATCACGAGGGAATTGACCCGGTCTCCCGTGTGCTTGATATCCTGACAGGTGGGGATACTAACATTATACTAACCGAGATTTAATCGATGTAAATCCTCAAAATTTGAAGTATTATTCATAATTATTTTTGTACATTATGTACCGTAAATAAAATTTTTTTACAGCTAATATATATTTTACACTGTTTGTTTAATGTTTTACAATGTTTTACAATTTGTCAAGAAACAACAATATTACACAGTGAAGCTTGGCAATATTATAACTATAAGCTAAAAGAATATACAAGTGTTTCCAATTTGTATAGTCAATTTTCATAGGTATAGATATTAGACTTTCATCAATTTCAATTCTAGTGTGTATAATACGTGTATAATACATAAAAAATTTCATAAAACTAATAATGCTCTAACTATACAAATCGTCTGTTTATTCTGTTTATTCTATTTCTTCTTCATCAGATTGCAAGAAGCGTAGTTGTTGTTCTAATTTTAAAAGCTTCTTCTGTTCAGTTAAAATTTTTTGCAGTTCATCATAGTCCAATTTCTCCTGCAAAATAATTTGATAAGCACTTAGTTGGCCTTGAGCAAAAGAATCGTTCTCTTGTTGTCTTTCAAATATTTGCTTTTGGATTTGGAGAAGAAGATCCAAAAACTTTCCCATGTTAGTGCCTGCTTTTTCTTTAGCATCGGTTATTAACTTTTTAAGGGTATTTTCTTCTTTTTGAAAATGAGGAAGATAAAACTTCAGTTTAAGCCCTTTGATTTCTTTTTTCAATTTATTAAAGTCAAGATCAGTATTAGGCGAAAATACTATGTCAACTAACTCTTGAAATTGACTGAGAGTTGGAGTTTCTTCATTTTCCTTTTTCAAACTTTCTATTTGTTGGTCCTTTTCCGCGATGGCTTGATTTAATTTTTCTATTTCTGCTTCTAATTGCTCCAATTTTTTACCATTTTCAATCAAAACGTAAGGTAATAATTCTTGTTGTCCCAAAAGCTTATATTTTTCTAACCAAACACTTGTACCATTTACATACATTAATTGATGATACATTACAACAACTTGACTTAGTTGCCTTTCTTTGATAAGTAAATTACAGTTGGAATTCCTCAAAGGATATAGGGCGGCACTTTCATTTAGCACTATCTTGCTTAACTCCTTGTTTTCGCTAATGTCAATACTTTCCAAATTATTTACAGTGACATTGTTAGCAAAACTGATTCTTCTTAAATTAGGAAATTGCGACAAATTTATTTCCCCTTCAAATACCGTATTGTAAATATAAAGAATATTGTCAGAAAAACTAGGTGCACTATTGCTATTTTGAAAACTTATATGCTTTGTCTGTTTTTTCCAATCGTCAGACACGCCATTTAATTTTTCTTGTGCCATAGTAAAACAAACAGAATTCTTTTATTATTATAAAAAATCTCCGAGTCGACTGAATCGTGATTCTGGCCAAAATAGCTCAATAACTGATCGGAAAAAACTTTGGTTAAATAAAATTTTTAAAATTGATTATATGCTATAAAAAAAATAAATAAATAAAATAATAATGATTAAGTCGCATGGTCAATTATTATGGCAGGGCTTTCAAAAGAGAGTCATATCGAAGGTTATTACTGATAGGTAACTTTGGCTTATAACAGTTTAAGTGAAATTAATTCGGTTATTTTGAGCAAACTTATTCGTCAGGTAGAATTGAACCCGCTCGACCTATTAGAGGAACACGCGACCGTTTTGGAAGCGAAAATATAAAATATAGTCATATCTTGAAAATTGCGTCGTCCATTGCGGAATTATATTGTTATGATCATGTAATGATATATAATCAATCTTTCGTAGATTGAATTCTAAACAATTATATAATCTATTTATTTTTTATATTATGTTAGGTTTCCACTCCAATATTAGAATTGTCTCAAGTTTTTGAACGAACTTTAGGAGAAGATTCTGATATAATTGGAAAAGAATTGTATAGTTTTGTTGATAAGGGAGACGACAAGTTAACTTTGAGACCAGAAGGAACTGCTGGTAAGGAATAAAGTTCCCGATGAATGTTCCGAAGTTGAAAAACAATTGAACTTAATTTATTACTTTTGATATTTGGCGTAGGTATTGTTAGAGCATTAATTAGCAATAATCTAATTTATGATCTCCCACAAAAATTTTATTATTATGGACCTATGTTTCGTCATGAAAGACCCCAAAAAGGGAGGTTAAGGCAGGTGAACATCTAAAGAAATTATTTTATTGTAATATTCGCAATTGTTACTAAAAGGAAATTATATCACATAATAATAGTTTGAACAATTTGGTGTTGAATTGTTTGGTCATGAACATCCAACCTCTGATATTGAAGTAATTGACATGGCTTGGACATTTTTAAATAAGATTGGACTTGGTGATTCTATTGAAGTAAGCATTTAAGTTAAAAAATTTTGTATTATAACCGCAAGTTATTAATTTAATTTAATTTATTGCATTAGCTTGAAATCAATTCCTTGGGCGACAGTGAATCTCGAACAAAATATCGAGATGTTGTAAGAGAATATTTGCGTAAAAATGAACACCATCTTTCAGAGGATAGCGCAAAAAGGTAACAAAAATTATCTAAATTTTTAAAATATTAGAAGATATTAATTATTTGAAATTCTCTAATAATAAGGATTTCAACGAATCCTTTACGTGTTTTGGATTCAAAAAATCCAAAAGATGCTCCAGTTATTCAAGACTGTCCAACAATTACTGAATATTATAATTCAACATCTGCCAAGAGATTTGATGATGTTTGTCAAGGACTTCAAGATTTAAATATATTATATAAAATTAATCCCCGTTTAGTTAGGGGATTAGATTATTATGATAATACAATATTTGAATTCAAGTGTTTGAACCCTAATCTTGGGACCGCTCAAGGAACTGTATTAGCAGGTGGTAGGTATGATGGCCTCGTTCAAATCATGGGCGGAAAAGAAAAAGTTCCTGGAATTGGGTACGAATACAATTTCTTTAAATAAGATCTTTTTATATATATTTTATACTAATAATATTATTTTTTAATAGTTGGGCTGCTGGAATTGATAGACTAGCAATGATATTAAATGATAACTTTATACCGTCGAGAAAAAGACCAATGGCAATTATAATAATACCGGATCGTGAAAAGTCTGAAAATCTTTCAACAGAAACTGAGCCTATTATTTCCTCAAAGAATAATAAGCTTTATTATTATGGGCTTAACCTCTCCAAATTCTTACGTGATAAAGATATACCGACATTATTTTATCATTCTTCGCACCAATCATCATTGAAAAATATATTAAGTAATACCGTAAAGACAAATGCTTCACATGTAATATTTGTAGGTGAAAATGAAATTGCGAAAGGTGAAGTAACAATAAAGGATTTGGATAATAAAATTCAAAAAGGATGTAAAATTGAAAATATTCTGCAATATATTAAAATCTGAAATTTTTAACTTCAAAAAAATAAAAAAATGTTATATTTACTAAGTTATTTAATAAATTAAAGTTTTTTTTCTTAATTGATGTTTAATATATAACACAGAAAAGCATAAAAATTTTTATAAATACAATTGTTGTACTCGTTAATTATTTGTTCAACAATTTTTTTTTTTTTTTTTGTGAAATGACAACAGAGTAACGAATATCCATCAGACAGTATTCCTAATGCCTCTAATGACGTTTAAATTAAAAAGAATAATGAATAAATAAATTTGGAAATAGCAATATATAAATCACTAATTCCCGAATAAATAAATTAAATAAATATTTAAATAAAAATTGCAAACGAAGGAAAAAGTCGAATGAGTGTCTGATAATCTGCAAATATCATTTAGATAAGACCCGAAGCTTTGAGGTTCATTCTCTGAACTGTATCGTTCACTGAAGCAACAATAACGCGCATTTGTTTTGTATCCTTTGTAAGAGATAATGAAACGCCAAATGATTAATATCATTAAAAATGATAAAATATCAAAATGTTAAATAGAATAAATATTATTTACCGTGGCATGTGTAAGGTGGACATAAATATGCTTGTCATCATTTTCATTACAATTTATAAATGTTTTTTGAAAGAATTTTGTTACACTTTGGAATTTATTATCACCTATATAATACGTTAAAGATGTAAAAGATATATAAGAAAATAAAAAAGAAAAGAAGAAAATTTTATAAAGTATACCTTCGTAATCAGAAAAATAGTCCTTCAATTTAATATAAGTAAGTTTATGCTTTAAAATGTCAATCTTGTTAAGAAACAAGATAATACTCGTATTTACAAACATTTCATGATTGCATATACTTTTGAACAATTGAATTGCATCAGCCATACGATTAACATTTGGAGCTTCTTCAAGTGTTTGGTCAAACGATGAGATAGCAGCCATGAAAATTATGGCATTCACATCATCAAAATAAGGACTAAAGTCGGTTATGTAATTACATTATAAATTATTACAGAACAAAAATATATATAAAAAAAGAATACATTAAAAAAAAAAAAAGAAACTTACGCCCAAAAGTGTCGCTGAGAACGATGACCGCCTACATCATAAATTCTAAAAGAAGAGAAAAGAATTACTAAATGTAAATATATAGCATTGATTTTCGTAAATTGTGTTATCATTATTATATACTTACTTATACGTAGTGCCGTCTATTTTGAAAAGATGTTCAGTTACGCCAAGTGTTCGAACTCGAGCTTGTAAGATATCTTCATCAGAAGGTGTATAGTCCTTATCGGTAAATCTATCCACGTTATCTAAAAAGCTAAAAAAAAAATTAGAATTAATAAAAATGTCAGAATTGATACATGAAAGAGTACAGTACACTTACTATCTCGCCGAATCTTGTAAACCAATTTCGCTAGCATGTTCATAAGCTTTTACAATAGCTGGATCTTTCCATAATGCCTCGATCGCTTCAGAATGTTCCATGAATAATTGATATGCATTGTCATTCAATCTAGAATCTTTAACACCTGCCTGAACACTAATAGAATTGCGGTTCAAAGAATCTTTAACTGAATTTAATCTACTAAACTTCTCGAGATGAATCAAATTGCTAGAATCTAACGTATAGCCAAAGCTTGTAAGAGCGTTGGTTAAAGCCTTCATTGCAGTAAGCACATTAAGGTGAACAATTCTTCGATATTGCTCGCGTTCATCCTCAAGACCATTTCCATGAATAATTTTTAGCTGTTTAAGTACAGTTGTTTTACCACTTTCAGACGAACCTATTTGTAAGATTGAATAAATGATAAGAATGTCAAAATATTAAAATAACAAGTACTAATCACTAATGCAAACATTTTTATATTTACCTAGCAACAACAATCTTGCCACTTTTTGTTTATTTAGTCTTTCCTTTTCAGCTTTAATTTGTTTGTCAATAGCTTCACTTTTCTTTTTTGCTTCCTTTTCTGCAATTACGCGTCTACGCTTGTCCTCAGCGGTTTCATTTGAAGGAATATATGGTTTTAAGGGATCACTCATATCGTTCGTTGAAACAGATGAAGCCATGATTTATTATTATTATTTTTTTTTGTTTAATGAAAATAATGAAATAATGTACAAGAATGCAATGAATGAAAAAATTCAAAGACAATAATTATTAACATACAATATTAAACAATTTTTGAGCTACAGAGAACAATTTATTATAAAAGGATAGGCATAATTGTAATGTTATAAATGTTATAAATGTAACATTCATGATGCAACTAAATATCACATCTTTGATTCCAAACTTAAAAATAAATCTAACAAGAAATTCTAAATTGTCTGAAACTGATGAAATTAGGAAATTAATTTTTTTTTTATTAATTCCTCGAAGAGTGTTAGAAAAAGGTCCAACGACGTATGTAACACTCTTAAAGAACTAAAAAATTGTTTTAGAGTAACGGAACGCCCTTCCAAATCTAAGCATGATAGACATCTTTCATCAATTTTATAAAATCACCAAGTTTGTTATACTATTTAAAGTCACGTGAAAATATGTGCTACTTTAACTTAATCTACTTTAACCACTCAAAAAAAGACCCCCCCCAAAAAAAAATGGCAGGTAATAATAACGAGGATAGAGTAAGAATTGGTGTTATAGGTGGTAGTGGAATTTATGAAGTTGACCATTTGAAAACGATTGATGAAATTTACTATGAAACCGTAAGAATTTATTTATTTTTTTATATTTCTAAAAAAATCATTTTTTTTAAAAAAAACTCTTTTTTTTTAGCCCTGGGGTTATCCTAGTAGTAAAATTACAATAGCTGAAGATCCATGTGGATTCAAAATTGCATTTTTATCTCGACATGGTAAAGGACATAAGTATAATCCTTCAGAAATTCCAACAAGAGCAAATTTGGCGTTACTTAAAAATATTGGTGTAGAAGTTATTATAGCATTTTCAGCTGTGGGTTCATTACGTGAAGAAATTAAGCCAAAAGATTTCGTTTTACCAGATCAAATTATAGATCGAACGAAAGGGATTCGTCCTTCTACATTTTTTGAGGATGGTTTAATAGCTCATGTATCTTTTGCTGATCCATTTAATCAAATATTATCAGAATTAATTTATAAACATAAAAATGTACTAGAAGAAGAAGGAAGTACTTTGCATCAGAACAAAACTTTAGTATGTATGGAAGGGCCAGCTTTTAGTACTAAAGCTGAATCAAATTTGTATCGTAGTTGGGGTTGTGATATAATAAACATGACTGCTATACCTGAAGCTAAATTAGCTAAAGAATTAGAAATTGCTTATCAAATGGTTTGCATGTCAACTGATTATGATTGTTGGAAACAAGGTGAAGAGATTGTTACTGTTGAAATGGTTGTAAATAATATGACTAAAAATACTGCGAATTCTAAAAAATTATTAGAAGCAATTTTGCCGGATTTAAGACAGTCGTTAAGTGATGGGAAATTTGAATCAAATAAAGGATACATGAATCATTCTTTTATTACAAGTAAGGAAGTAGCAAACAAGGAACAAGTAAAGAAATTAGAATTTGTGTTCCCAGATATTTTGAATAGATTAGGATTTTCTTCAGATTGGTTTTAATTTTATATGTTTATAATAGCGGTTAAATAAATTAGTGGTGCACTTTCCCCAACAATAAAAAAATTTAATAATTTTATTCTATTTCTTACAAAAATTTACAGTAAAAAAAGAATTGATGTTTAAAAAGTGATATATATATATATTATATATATATATCTCATTTTCCGTTTAATGCTCGAACTTTTGTATATATAAAACAAATGTAAAAAATTGAGTGCAAGAAAACAATTAAAAAAAAAGTGAATGTTGAGTGTGATGCATAAGAGAATGGAAATTAAAAAATATAGTATAATAGAAAAATTGAAATGTGTTCCGAGGAAAAAAGTCTGTATATAACTCTTAACCATTTAAATTACTGTAGACGATTAGATGAACCAAGCTATAAGAAAACTAGCTAGAACCCGCTAGCCTATCTAAATTTTTTATTTTTATTTATACTTATTTATACCCAAGATATTTTAACCCCGACGAATATATCTGAAATCGTGACTCCAGTTAACCAAGTCACACATATATGTAACAATTAAAGGAAAAACTATACAATTCCGGATTAAATTAAAAAATTATCATCCTTAAATGTTAATTATTTATGTAACTTTTTTTCGTCTTATTTTTTTTTATATGGATTCCTTCGTTTTTATTTCCTCATTCTGGCCTTTTTTAGTTGAATCTACGTTATTTCCAGGTTCTTTAACTTCCCCTCCTGCTACATTTACAAAAGATGGTGTATTTCCTCCCCAAAAGATCATGATCTCACCATCTCCATCATCTGAAAACATTGTACTTCTACCGTTTGAGCTCGAAGAACTTATTATACTCTCTCTATGTAATTGAGGTGATGATGGATCGTTACTATATACTTCATCACTACCAAATAATCCAAATGATTGTCGACCTTCTATTGGATCTAATGCAGCCGAATTTAAATTTTGATTTTGTGACGTCGTGTTTTGATTTGGATTTGTAACACGAAAAGATTCCGCTGATGGTCTTTCTATATCTATATGAGGCATCATTTGTTCAGTATCGGAATCACCACCAATTCTTAAGGAAGTTGGACTGCTTGGTACTGATGATATTGAAGGAGCGTATAAGAAAGTATTCTTCATAGGTGTCTTTGGGGTACTAGGAATGCTATTTTCACTTCTCGTAGATTGAGTAGAACTCATTTCTTTATTTGTTGCTTGTTTTATAGTATTAAGCCGAACAAGTGCTGGTTTGGCGCGTGTTGCTGTCACAAGAGTAGCTGTAGAAGCTGCAGGTGATGTTTTTGTCGCTTGCAATATTGTACCAATATCAGGAGCTGTATCATCATCATCTGTAATATCAATTAATTGTTCATCGAGTAGATTACGAGGTAAGGGACTGGCTAACGGTGTGGTTCCAGCGCTAACATTAGAAACTCGTATTCTTAGATATGATGGTTCCGGTATAGGAGTGGTTGGTGTCGTTGGAGTAGTTGATGGAATATATGCAATTGGAATGACATTTTCTCCATTCAATGACGTCATTTCTTCGTTACTATCTAATTTAATACCCCTATTATTTCGAGCTTTTCGTCTCCGTACAAAGGAGACATAGCCTATTGCTGTCAAAAAACCAACCCCAAGAATACCACCAATAACCGCTGGCAATAAAATTTTATTTCCTTGGTTATTGCTGTTATTATTATTGTCCACTAAGTCTGATGATGATTTGGAACAACTTGCTTGTGGACATTGAAAACATGTTCTTAATGATAGAGTACATTTTGAATCTTTACCGCATGGAGGACATGTTGGAACGACATCACATGGTATACATGACGAACTACCTTTATTTTCTAAAGGTTTTGGTTGTGTATTAATAATTGAATATTAGATAATTTAAGAATTGAAAAATAAAATAAAAAAATAATCTTTCCTACCTTGTGCTGTTACCGGCGTTATATTTATGAATATTATTGTTATACACACTAACCAAACGAGCATATACAATTTTATTTTTGATATTGAAAACATCTATAATTAACTTTATTATCTTATAAACAATAATTGCTAACAAATGAACAAGGAAAGGAATGAAATAAAGATAAAAAAAATAAGGATATAAATTAGATAAAAAATGAAGTAAAAGAATGTAATAATATGATTTTTTTTGACTGTAATATTAACGCTTGGTGTTTATACTAGTCGAGGAGTGAGTTTAGTTATTGCGAGCTCCAAAAAGAAAAAGTCAAAAAATACAGAATTCGCACAAAGAAGCGTGAGATTGTTTTAATATGAATTCCGCTAGAGAGTGTTTAAGTGGGCTTTGAAGCCAGTAATGGGAGATGGGAAACCATCGACAAGTTATTTCGCAAGCGACGAAAAGGTCTGAAAGTTTATTCTTCCCGGAAGAAATTTTTAGTTTTAACAAAATATTGTTTCACTGCCTTATTAGTAAAACCATATGTATGTACCAATTGAAAATACTTTAAAATCAGTAATTTTGGCCCTTGTCACTCGAACGTTTCCTTTTCAGGAGACTAAGTAAATTAAACGTTACAATCTGGACCCGTTAACAATCGCACCTATTGCTTAAGTCTGTGTTACCATATGACAAATAAACCGGTGCTTTAATGTTAATCATTTTTAACTTCAGATCAACAACGATTATTTATTCCATTTTAGTCAATAGTTCTAAAGTTTAAATTGTCTCTTTAGTCTTTATCAGATCTTTTCGTTCATTTCTAAATGGATTCACAAACTTTACAAATAACTGAAGGTTCTGATTAATTGACTATATGTTGATATTTATAAAATTATAATTAAAATATTTGTTTTCCTGTTGATAGATGAAGCTGCTTTGTATGATAGACAGATAAGACTATGGGGCTTGGAAGCTCAACAACGGTAAATCTAAATTTCATTAAAAATTTGGTTTCTAATTAAATATAGACTTTTAGATTGATTTTATTTATAATTATAATTATAAAAGAATGCGTAATTCTTCGATTCTTATAAGTGGAATAAGAGGGTTAAGTAATGAAGTATGCAAGAATCTCGTATTAGCCGGTGTTGGTTCGGTTACAATCATTGATCACAATATTGTTACGGAAGAAGATTTGGGTGCACAATTCTTAATAACAGAACAGGATCTTGGAAAGAATGTAATTAAACATGAATTACTTATTCTCTTTATGCTAATTTGTTGTAGATAAAATTTGCTAATTTATAACAACTTCATCAAGAGGGCATTGGCTTCAGCTAATGGTGTTAGACATTTGAATCCTCGTGTAGTTGTAAAAACTGATACGGATGACATACGCGAAAAGGCCGAGGAATTTTTTGAAAATTACGATTTAATATGTCTTACAGATAGTGGTCCTGATACTATGGTAGGACTAGATTCTTAACTTTTTTGTCTATTCAACGAATTAAAAAATAGTGCTCATTTTGTGTAATAGATTCACGTAGATCGTATTTGCCGAAAATATAACAAAAAGTTCTATTCGGCTTGTACATATGGTTTCTTTGGATATATATTCAGTGATCTAAATCATCATGACTATATACAGTAAGTCACGTGTTTGCTTATTTGTGCTTGTGACTTTAAAAAAGTTAACTGTTTGACTATATAGGGAGAAAAAAACAGTTGTACCGGGTAAGGAAGAACCCGAAATAACACGATTAAAGAAAAATGAGGAATTTGTGAGCTTAGAAACAGCTTTGTCAAAAAATGACTGGGATCAGATTTCCGTTAAGAAACTAAATAAAATTTCCCGTGTATTGTGGAGCGTACTAAGTAAGTGATTAATTACATAATTGTGCACACTTCTCATTATTGATGCATAAATTAGTAAATCAATTTTTGTATAATGCAGTCTTATGGAAATTTCAACAGGAAGAAAAAAGATTACCCACAGCTAATGAAATTGATATGACAAAATTAAAATCATTAAAAGATTCATTATTTACTTCGAATAATATTAACGTGTCAACTGTTACTGATGAATTTCTTCGGTAAGCTCTCTATTTTATCATTGAAATCGATTTGCGAACATAGACTTATTCAATAGTTATTGCAATTCAGGACATTTACTCTGAGTATAACAGCGGAATTATCGCCTGTATGCGCTATTCTTGGAGGTATATTAGCTCAGGATATCCTTAATACGTTATCACAAAGGGAATTACCTATCAACAATTTCTTTCTTTATGATGGTATTGAAGGCAAGTATTTCCAAATTAGTATTTTTTTAAAAAAGAAACCATATTAATTTGACGCATATTTGTAGGTTCTGGAGTGATATATCAAGTAGAACCAGGAAAGAAAATTCCTTAAGTAATGAATTGCGATCGAGAAAAATATAAGTTTCAAAAAAACAAAAAAAAAGAGTTCAGATTTAATAAACTACAAGATGCTATATATATACACATAAATTTCTCAATTAATATAATTAATATGGTTTAAATCTTCTAGCGGCCTTAAGTTTAGCGATCTTTTCTTTGTCTTCCTCGAACTTTTTGCGAAGATCGATTAGTTCTTAAAATGAAAATGAAAAATAAAGTTATAATGGTATGCAAAAATAAACGTTTATAAGAAATAAATTTCATATTTACTATTTCGTTTTGTTTCACGCATTTGGAATCGATAAAAGTCTGTCAATTCTTTATTCTTTGGCTTCAAATTCTTAATTTCCTCTGGTTTAGCAGCTGTTACGGTGATTGTACCATCCGTATTAGCACTACGTCTTCCAACTCTTGTTACCATGATAAATCCATCCTCGTCTGGTTGATTGAGTTTGGCTTCTAAAGCTTTATGTCGTTCTAATTCAGCTTCTTCAAACTTACGCATATATTCATCAACTTCTTCTTGAAGTTTTATTTGACCTGGACGATGTAATCTATAATCTTGTAACCACCCTGTCAAAATATATATTAATAAAATTATTATATAAAAATAAAAACAGTCGATATATACGTAAAAAAAAAGAATATTACTAGATAATCCCAATGATGGAATTTCAACAACATCTTTAATAGTCCATATTCTCTTTTTTTGAGTCATTTCAAGAGCTTTTTTTAATCCTTCTGAATTTTGAAATACAATATGAGCAGAAGAATCTGGTATCAACAATTTTCTTAAGCCACCTTCCTCAAAATTTCTAATTACATTCTTCTCAATTCCCCCTTGCATGTTTGGCTTTCTCTTTTTCTTTTTTTTAGATTTTTTTCCTTGCTGTATTGATTCATTTTCATTTAATCCATTATTATTTTCACCTTCATTATTATCACTTCCATTAACAATATTAGTTAAAAATTCATCATCTTTAATAACTTCATTAAATATAATTCTATCGATCTTTCCGCATTCTTGAAACAAATGTTTAATATGTGCTTCTGTTGAATCTATTGGTAAATTTGAAATAAACAGAGTACTGTTGAGAGGTAAGTGTTTATCATTATCATCATTATTAGTATTACGTGACTCATGACTTTTAAAATAACAATAATGAATTGAGGTAAAAGTAGAAGGATCAGATGAATTTGAATCAAAAATAGTTTTTTGTGAAGATATTTCAATCGGAAGTATTTTAAATCCTGTATTAGAAAGTTCTTCTAATGGTGGTAATCGGACTTCATTTATACTGCTATTAGTTGTCTCATCATGAATCTGTTGATTAGTTGAAGAAGTTTCTTTTTGTTTTTCATTATTATTGTTATAAGACTCGTTGTTAGTAGTTCGAGATTGTTTTTTTTTCTTAGGCATATTGTAATAAAATTTTTCTGATAATCAGGATAAAAAATTCTCGATATTTTCATGTCAGATTTCACGTGACATTTTTTTTTTTTTTTTGATAAACTGTTGTTTGTTTTGTATCATTCACCATTGACCTAGTTTTCGTTTTAAAGTCTATAAATACCCTTCATTTGATTTAAAAGTCTCTCATTAAGTAGATTTGGGATACAAATTAAAATGGCTTGTAAGTAAAATAATTTTATCTCGGATATTATCAAATTTTCTTATTATTATATTACAATATAAAAGTTACAAATAGAGGACGAGGCGGTGGTAATCGCGGTGGTCGTCCGTTTAGTAGAGGCGGTAGAGGCGGTGGACGCGGTGGTGGTGCAAATTTTGGTAAAGAATTTTTTTGTACAGTTGATTTAATGAAACTTAACATATATGAATTTATGTTTAAATTATTTGCAATTGCATTCGATAAATGTAAAGGTACTCGCGGTGGTAAGAATATTTATATTGATTGCATTTTTTTTAAAAAAAAATAAAAAAAATTAATAAAATTGATCTAAATTAGGAAGTGTTCAAAAACGCGGTTTCCGTGGCGGTGGCCGTGGCGGCGGCGGCGGTGGTGGTGGTGGTGGTGGAGGAGGAGGAGGAAGAGGTCGTGGTGGAAAAGGTGGTAGGGGAGGATCTAGAGGAGGATCAAGAGTTATAATCGAACCACACAGACATAAAGGTAATTATTCTATAATATATATATATATATATTGCTGACTCAAATCTATCCTTTAATAACATAATTCATTGCTTCTTTTTTATTAGGTATTTTCGTTGCTCGTGGTAAAGAAGATCTTCTTGTCACAAAAAATCTTGTAAGTGGGGAATCTGTTTATGGAGAAAAAAGAATTTCAGTAGAAGGACCAGATGGTGTCAAAATCGAATATCGAGTTTGGAATCCATTCAGATCAAAGTTAGCTGCCGGTATTCTTGGTGGTGTTGAAGATATTTTTATTGCTCCTGATAAAAAAGTTTTGTACCTTGGTGCAGCTTCAGGGACTACGGTATCTCATGTAGCTGATATTGTTGGTCCAGTATGTATTTATCATTCTTTTCTTTGAAACGTGTATTTGAAATAATGTCTAATGGTTAATATTTATATTATAGGAAGGTATAGTATATGCTGTTGAGTTTTCTCATCGATCAGGACGTGATCTTATTAATGTGGCAAAGAAACGTACAAATGTTATACCCATTATTGAAGATGCTCGACATCCACACAAATACAGAATGTTAGTTGGTATGGTAGATGTTATCTTTGCTGATGTTGCACAACCTGATCAAGCACGTATTATAACATTGAATGCACATCATTATTTAAAGAATAATGGATATATTGTCATATCTATCAAAGCAAATTGCATTGATTCTACAGCAAAAGCTGAATCAGTATTTGCAAGTGAAGTATCGAAATTAAAATTACAGCGTATAAAACCTATAGAGCAAATTACTCTTGAACCGTATGAGCGTGATCATGCTCTTGTTATTGGAAAATATATACGTTCAAAATAGAGAGATAGTCTTGTGGAGGTTAAGTTATTTGAATAACTTTCTTAAATTTAGTAATTTTTTTTCGTTTATTGTTAAAATTACAATTTAGCATTATATGAATAAAGTAAAATTAATAAGTGAATCACATTTTTGAGGTTTTTGATATTTACAAATTGTTTGGTTTTCTTTACCAAATTTCTAATTATTTACAAATTAATGCAGATGAAATATATCACCTAAAATATTATTTCAATAAAATTAATATATATATATATATATTACTTTTTCTATAAATTTACGTTATATTTGATATTGTTATCAACTACATAATTGCCCAAAATAACAAATAATAAAATACAATAAAAATTGGTCTGCAAAATATTGAAATAACGAAATAAAATTATGTTTTAAATACAATATCCTTTGAATTTAATGATTACTAATTAAGAATTTCTGATATAAAAATAAAAATATAAAAAATATATACAAGATAATTATGATAGGAAACAAATTCGTATCAAGCAATATATTGTCTAATAATGCTGAGGTTCGTTCAGTAAGTAATTGATGAAGCTTTGCCTTTATCCTTTCTAGAAGCTTCCGGTTCGACTCAGTCCGTTCTTCAGCAATTTGTTCAACATCAACAAAGTTTTATGACCAGATTCGGGCATCAAATAATCTTTTTTTGAGGTCAATTCCAACCTATTTCATGAGCTTACGGTTCCATTCTGAAGTTCTTCATCTCTTATGCATTTCATATAGACAGACTGATCATTTACCATGTCTTCAAATCGCCTCTTTCGGTAAAGTTCTGCCTCTGCGGCAGCAATCTTATCCTCCAATTCGCGAATCGCTCGTCCTATTGCAATTTTGGATGTTGCCACTTCGCGAATATGTTGAATAGTTTTTGCGTCGCGCCTATCCCTTTCGTTAGAAAGGTCAACAAGCTTCTGCCTTTTATGAACACGCTCTTCTTCAAGAATTTGGTGACGTAAATCCTCAATTTGACATTTTCGTACCGTTTCTTGCATCTTTGCAAGTTCGGCCTGAATCTTTTTGTTACGCTCTTTCTCCCTGGTCCTACGACGAAGTTCACTGTATGATAAACCCTTCTTACTGCGTTGAATAGAAGAAGATCGCAGGGCAGTTGATGGGTTTGTAGATTCTTCGAAAGGAGTGAAATATGTTTCAACATTTTCTTCGTCGCTCTCTTTTTCATCATATACGTCTTCTTCAGCCGGGGAAAACCTTCCTCTTTGTTCCCGCCAACTCGAGATCTCTGCGTCAGAAGGTGGGGTCCAGCCCATTTCTTCTTGGATTCTCTTTCGGGCCACCTTTCTAGCTTCTCGAAGAAGCTCTTCATCTTCTAGTTCGCGAAGGCGTTTTTTCACAACCTAAAAGTGATAAGGCTTTAATATTAAGTACATATAATAAATACAATAAATAACAACTAATAATTATTACTTTTTCTTGACGGCTTTCTTGTTTGGCCATTAACTTAGCCACGTATGCTTCATGCGTACTACGTGCCCGTTCGTACTCGTAAAGTCGTTCTTCACGTGATTCCGAGGGCTCAATTGGGAAATATTCGGGATGTTCAAGCCGAAATAGACGTTCAGCAGGAGTATCAAGGTCTATCACTGAATCAAGTTCGTTAAGAACTTTAGTAATCGAATTTGCGCGATTCGCGTCGAAAATTGACAGACGATCCTTTCGTCTCCGTGAATGTTCTGTCTCAGGTTTACTATCATTCTTTATTTTTGTCGGAGCCCTTTTAAAGGTAGCTTTTCGCTTAAGGGAAACCTCTCGTCGCGATTGAGGAGGTGAAGATCTAAAGACCTCGTCGCGCAAATCGCAGATTGTTGTGAATCTAATTAATTTTACAAATAGTTAAAAATAAAAAGGCAGAACTAAAATCAATTATTAATAAAAAAAATTACTGCACAAACCGAAAAGCAGGGTCTATTTCCTCCTCCTCTTCCTCCTCCTCTTCCTCCTCTTCCTCCTCCTTCTTCTCCTCCTCCTTCTTCTCTGTATCAATATCCGATTTTTCAAATGTATTCGATTTATCGAGTGTATCTTTATCGACGATCTCGTTGTCGTTGTTTCCGTCTGTAATGGGTTGTTCCTCATATTGAACGGGAGTAACCTCGGAAGTCTTTATAATCTGATTTAATAACGGTAAGACAGGAACGGAAGGGAAATCTTCAATCACTTGAACCACTTTCGCATCAACGTCACGATGCTCGTCATTTTCATGTGTCAAATCGTTTCCAAGTTTTAATCCGGATTTGTTATCTTCCTCCACATTATCTAAAACTCGCGGGGTTTCCTGGTAAACGGTTAAAGATTCAACCTTGGACTCGACTCTGGCTGAGATTTTTGTTTCAGCTTTAAAACCGTCATCGAAATAGTCCCATGCTCGATTCCGTCCTGACGCATTTGATGGTATTTCGTTTGATGTCTTTAAAATTATTGCATCCTGTACTTGAGCGTAAAGCTTTGTTGTATCAACGAAATCTTTTACTCTCGTTCCTAATTGTTCTAATTGTTCTAATTCTTGGGACTTTATATTCGCACTCTTTATCTTTTGAGACTAAATTAATAAAAACAAAGAATCATTATTTTTAAAAATTTCCATAGGAAAATAAATACTTTAAGACATACCTTTTGATTTTGTGACGGTTGTGCGAACCGAAGGGTTCGATTACGTTTTCTTTCGTTTTCAGTTAGTTTACCTATCTGTGCAGCTATTAGAAGATAAAATGAATACTTTAATATTAACAAATAAAAAGGCTCAGAGTATAAAAGGCTCAGAGTATAACGAAAAATTACACTATATATACCTTGATCTACAGCAAAGTCTGATAGCGGATCCATTTTATTTTCTTGAACTACACTATTATCATCCTCAGATGATTGCGTCTCAAATCGAAAGGCTTGATGACCTCCACTATTCGAGAATGTATTAAATTTTTCTGCTAAATAATTTTGAATGTAAATAAATAAGATTATTAAACCAGGGTAAATGCTAATGCGGCAATTAAAAAGATGGAATTACCATTTATGCCTGATTTAACTGACTGTTGGTCTATGAAACTATTCGCTTGATTATTGCGTATATGTGTCTTTTGTTCGTTAATGAGATTTTCCACGCCATCCATTGCCTGCTGGCTTAAATTGGGTGCACTTGATTGATCCATAAGAATTTCATTATCTGATGATTGCATCCCAAACCAAAATTTTTTTGCACTTTCGGGGGTTTGAACAGCTATTAAAATTTCTAGATTTAATAAAATTATATGTTGAAATTTTGATTAAATAAAATAAAACCTACCACTCATGGTATCAAAATTAAAAATCGGTTTATTATTACTTGGTGTAAAGTTGTAATTGACTGCATTCGTTAATGTTGGTTGATTAAAACTAAAATTTGATTTTTGGTTAACGTTATAATTTACTTTGCTGCTTGAACCTATTTGTGCAAAATCGGAATTGTTGTTTGCATATCCATGTTTTTTAGCACGTCGGATAACAGACTTCTCATCTGACTTTTTTAAAGCTTCGTCGTCAGTCATACCTTCTCTTGGTAGGTCTATAAAAGATAATGCTTTTATTAGTAAAATTATAAAAATATTAGTACATAAAGAGAAAACAAAACACACCTGGTAAAGGTTTAGAATTATCTTCCACGTCAGGGGACCACATAACAGTTTTTTTCTGACCTTGTCTTCTTATCCCGCCAAGTACAGATCGCAACATGTGTTTGAGTAAAGCTAAACTAAACAAGTATAGATGTACGTTGGGAAACACATCGCATTTAAAACGTAAAATTGGAATAAAAAGATTTTAATTTTTTTCTTCATAAAGTCGAACACCGCAATAAAATAGTAATTCTTGTTTCATTCTCAAAAATGTGGACAATTAACCGTAGCAGCAAAAAGAGTATATACCTTTTTTAAGAAAATTGATTATGACTTGAAAGAAAGGTGAAAATTTTTTTGAAATGATAAATAAATTACGCAGTATCTGGTGTTTGTGCATGATCACGAACTTTTTGTGTACTTAATGGTTACGCAAAGGGTCACGTCTTCACAATCTGCAACTGCAAGGCTGCAACATCATCAAAAAATCATCGGGGTAAAATTAATTAAATGATAATGCAGAAAGCCAGAAACCGTCACTGTCATAACGATTACTTTTTCGAATTATGACTCGCAGGTCCTAAGATAATTATTCGCATTTTTACCAAGGACCTTTTTAGTTGGTACGAACGTGGTCTTATCAATATAATTTATATTAGTTTGCAAGAAAGGATTTAACATTAGTAAATTTCTGTTCCTTTTAATTGTAATTCATTTTGCTTTAAAAAGAACCACGTGGTGACGATTAGATCCCAGCGAAAGGCGAAGGCAAAGACATAGAGTTCATTAACGAAATCAAATGATTAACCATCATGCATGTGATTCCATGTTATTAGATCCTTTTTGTAAAGTTACCGCAGTTACTGTGATTATATTCAATCAAATTTCGCCACAAAAAAGGATATGCATGCAGTTTTTGTAAAACATTTCATCCAATCATAAATAAAAGTTGTCAGATCAACATAAAATTTCGGTATGATTTCCAAATTTGCGAACTTGTATTTAACCGTTTAAAAAATCACTAAAACAACAGTGATAATGGACTTTTTTAGTAGAAGTTATAAAGGGTTACTGGGAGAAAAAGGTCAACCTCAGTCAGTCGAAGACACTGTTGCAAAACTAGTGGATCGCGCTTCTAGTTCTACATTGTTGGAGGACAGACGAGCTGCTATTTTAGGTTTAAAAGGCCTTTCAAGAGAATATCGGCAGGTAGAGATAATTTTTTTTATATTTCCTTTAAAAATATTACTACTAATTAATATTGATGAAAATAGGAAGTTGGAGAAAAAGGAATTGGTGCCCTTTTACATATTTTAAATGAGGATAGGGCAGATATCGATACGGCAAAAGCTGTTTTAGAAATATTAAATATTTTATGTACACCTGATAGACAGGTAATTAATTTACTTTTTTCTCTTGATACATGAATTATTATAGTATTTTTATTTTTTAATTGTTTTGATTTAGGATTCTGCAACCGATGTGGCCATAAAATTCACAGATGAAATTGTTCAGGTAAACTGAAACTTAATTTTAACATCTAAATTTAATATTTTTCAATTCTTCAATTGAATCAAAATTTTGTTTAATTTAGAATTCTGCAAATATAAATTTATTCTTGGATATTTTACAAGAGTATGATTTTTATGTTCGTTTTCATGATATACAATTGTTGGGTACATTGTTAGCTATAAGACCAGATCATGTACAGGATTGTGTATTAACTGCTCCTATGGGAATTTCACGTTTGATGGATTTATTAGGTGACCGAAGAGAAATTATAAGAAATGGCAAGTTAAATATTTTGTGGAGCAAAGTAACTAATTAATTTCATAATTTCATTAACTAATGTTAATTTTCTCTATATAGAGGGGCTATTATTATTAATATCACTTACTGAAAATAATGCTGATATTCAAAAAATTGTTGCATTTGAGAATGCATTTGAAAAACTTTTGGAAATAATTACAGAGGAGGATGGATTAAATGGTGGAATTATTGTTCAGGATTGTTTGCATTTAATTCTCAATTTATTACGGTATAATGTTTCAAATCAGGTATGAAATTAAAATCTTACAATTGTTAGTATTTAAAATAGTTAATTTATTAATTAATTTATTGTATTTTAGAATTTTTTCCGGGAAACAAGCTGTATACAAAAAATTCCTCCATTGTTGAATTTTTCAGCAGAATATCAACATCAAGGATTTGATCTTGAATTTTTGACTCAAGATTGGCATGAACAGAAAATTGCCAATACTATTGTATTATTAGAATTAATTAAGATATTGGTTGTTCCGAATAATATGAATACGGTGACCAACCAGGTGGATTAAATTTTATTCAATTAATTTACTCATAACAAATTTTGATAATAGTCAACTTATTGTAATTTGTTTATTTAGAATGTGATGATTCAGTGTGGAGTATTAAAAACAGTTATTGAACTATCTTTGTCTTCAAATGCCCCTTCAATAGTGAAATCCCATGTACGTTTTTCTTTCAGCTCTAAGTTTATTTTTAATTATTAACATTGATTTATCTAATTGTAAAATTTTAAATTTAGTCACTTTATGCTTTGGCAGACCTCATAAGAGGGAATCAAAATGGTCAAGAATATTTAGCAAAAACAGTTGTTCCTGTTCCACATCCATCTCAATCTAGTGAAAATGATGCAAAGTCGTCTTCCTATGATCAAATTCTTATACCACCACGTCCTGCTGTAATGTCACTTATTGTTGTTGCGGTCGGAGCAGAGTATCTAGAAAGTTATTCAACTAGGGCAGCTGCCACTTATGCGTTTGAGGTAGATTCATTAATATTAAAATTATTTCATCTTTTGCATTTTTTTTCAATTAATGAACCCTTTAATATAATATATATAAAAATTTTTTTTTTTTAGTCTTACACATTTAATAATATTAATGCACAACTTGTATTAGCATCAACACTGACACCACCACCCGATGATAATCCTAATTCAGAAATAATTATAGGTTGAGAAAGATTTACAATTTATTAATTTATAATATCATATTTTTGAAATAATTAATTACAATTCTTATTAATCAACGATTTTTTAGCTAAACCTCAATCAGCTGGTTCTTTGTTGCTTTCAGCATTATTAGAATGGGAAGATTCGGAGGCAGACCCATATGTTGTTTGGTTTGCTTCGGTAATTTTCTCTCACATTCTTATGAATAATGAAAGATCAAAAGAGTATGCACGAGGAATATTTTTTGGTGATGGTGATGATAACGGAGAAGAAAATATCACTTTATTGCACACAATTGCTGGAAACTTAATGATAGCAACAAGACAAAATGCAGAAAGACAAAATGCAGATGTGAGGGTGTTGATAGGATATCTTTGTACTCTTTGCATTTGGTTATGGGACAGTCCAATAAGTGTTAGAGAATTTTTGTCAGAAAGCGGTCATTTACAAATGGTACCTTTTTTAAACATAACGAATAATTATATTTTATTTTTAAACTCTTTAGCTAAATAATATTTTTGTTTTATAGCTAATTACATCAATAACTCAATCTTCTGGAGTAGATGCAAGAGTTCAAGGTTTATGTGCATTTTTATTGGGAATATGTTATGAATTTAATCATAATTTAGATCCACAAATTACAAAGTATGATATCAATCATACGCTTATGTTTCTTCAAAAGATTGAAATTAATAATAAGTAATTATTGTTTTTAGGTCAACACTTCAACAAATTTTACTTAATAGAATTGGATATGACCAATTTGTTAATCGTATTACAAGATTAAGAGAATCTCCGCATTTTAAACATGCTTCACAATACTTACAGGTAAATAACAGTATTATAAATTATTTTAATGTAATTGAGGATTAAACATGAATTCACATTTAGGTTGTACCAGAGGAAGCAGCAAGAGGCTTACCAGAATTATACTTTGATTATGCCTTTGTAGAATTTTTTAAAAATAATTATGGTAAGATTATTAAATGTTGGATTTCTCAAAATTCTTAATAATTAATTAATATTTTCTTATTTCGTAGAAACAATTCAACGATCTATTAGAGCAGATCCGAATACGAAATCATTTTCAGGACTAAAAGGTTCTTTAGTATTCTTATTTTAATAATAAAATTATTTTGATCTAATAATTATTAATTTTTAGGTTCAGACTATCAAGGCGACAATGATTCAACTTCAGTAATTGCATCGTATAAAGATGTTATTCAAACCCAAGAGAAAGAATTAAGTCAATTAAAAGAATCAATAAAACAGCTTGAACAACAATTGGAATCACAAGTAAATTGAAAATATTTATTACGTTAATTGAAATGTTTAAATAGAATTTATTTTTTTTCCTTAATTAACTTGTCATTTAATTATAGAAATTATCAGCGGAGGGACAAATAAGTTCATTAAACAACGAAATTGATATTTTGAAACAAACAATTGAAACTAAAACAGCCAATTGTGCTAATTTGGAAAAAGAACGAGATGATTTATATGATTGTGTTGCCGATCAAGAAGCATCTATTAAAAAATATAGAGAAAGATTAACAGCATTAAACCAAGAAGTTTCCGATATTGAAGAGGAAGATGATGAAGGAGAGGGAGATGATGATGATGATGATGATGATGATGATGAATAGGTTGAAAATAAATTCTTTGTATAAAAAAAAAGAATATTTTCAATAATATAAAATTAAATAATATTTATTTTATATAATTATTTTTATTTAATTAATAAAAAAGTTATTTATAAATTTTTTTAGATTTATTATTTAATATAAAATAATAAAATTATAGGTTTTTTTTTTTTTTCATATACTAGTAGAAGTTAATATTTTATTATAAAATATTTAGAAACGATTATTATTTAATTACTTCTTTTATAATAATGTGTTATTTTTTTACTAATAAAGCTTTGAGAATTATTTGTTAAAAGGTTAAAAAGTTGTAAAATAAAATAAATAAAATAAAACAATTATAAAAGTTTTAAAAAGTATTATATGAATGAATAAAAATACAAAACCCGACAGAAAGTAAATTCTTTATAGTACTATAATAATAGAGGTGTTGAGATGAATTAATGTAATTAATGTCTTTTTTTTTATGCAATTGTCGTTTCTTAAGGTTTGAGTCTTTTGATTTCCACGAAACTTCATCTTTTGCATTATGATAAATAGAAATTATAATATTTTAAATTATCAATAATTTTAAATGAAAAGCATTCACTTTTTCTCCATCTGCTTTTATATGGTTTTCTGATTGCTTTTGACTATGCCATATGGACCAACGACTTCTATTGCTCCCATTCCTCCATTCCACAAAATTCTAAAAATATCAACACTGTTATCTTTATTAAAATTTCGAACCATACAATTTAGTGACCATTATGGAAATAAATCTGTATATAAAAAGAAAGAAGTGTTTTTTAGAGAGAGAAAGTTTGAGTCGTAAATGGTAGAGCCAGCTGGCAGTTTGCTCCTCTACTCCTCCCGTCCATATCATCAGAGATTTGAGTGCTCAGCTGGAAGAAGTTTGCATTTAATTATAGCAGATGATCGACCGTATACAATTAATATAGTCATGTCCGACGAAAAATTGAATTTTTGAATAATACTGGATTCATTTAGTAAAGAGATTGTATATCCATACCATTTGCAAGAAGCGCATTATGAAGGTCTGAATTTTAATCATTTTTTCTCCCAATGACATGCTAAAACGTTTTCATATGAGTTGTAACACATCTTTGAGATCTTTTCTAATAAATTATATTTTAAATTGGAAGTAATCTCATTTACTTGATAAATTACGTAGAATATTATCTTTTTGTAAAATACTATATATATATATTGTAAATATTTTTTCTTGTTAACCATAATGGTAAAATAATATTATTTTTCTGTATATATTCTGATATTTAAACTGTATTAAATTATTAATCATTAAAATGAATATTTTATGGCGTAATGTAAAATAAGTATGTAAAATAAGTAATAGTGGATTTTCACGTTGGTTTGGAGGGTTTCCGCGTGTATTAAATTAAATTATAGGCGATTTTTATCAAATCAATGTACTGTATGTGTTTAATCATTACAGTGACATTGTTACAAAGGAAATAAAGCTTGCAATAGAAAGAATCGTAAGAAGAGATTTGCCATTCCAAAATTCGTGTTTGAAACAAAATTTGATTGTTTCTAATGTAGAAAATTAAAAGATAAATATCATTACATGACCTAGATACATGATCTAGAAGAAAACAAAAAATATGAGATATATCTTGTATGGTAAAATAAATAATTGTAAAGAGATCAGGTGACCGCGTTCATCTCTACGTTCCAATCTAAAGTGAAGAATATTTTAAAAAAAACATGTTTTTTATAGCGGTAAACAAAAAAAGTTGAAACTTACTGGAATATGGAATCGGAAAAGAGTAGTATTTAATAAAATTTAATTTTCAACATTTTCCTTTCTTGATTTATTACAAAGTTCTTCATTAAAATGTAATTTAATTTTAATAAATATATAATGAATTATATAACAAATACTATGTAAAAATAGGCGTCTCCCCTTTGATTTTGAGCGGATCCACAAGACTAGGAAAGCCGCTGATAACCTTCAATATATATTTCGGGAAATTTGATTGTTTTTTTCTGATAAATTTATTTATTATTATACATAGATGCTTCAGCATAATTCAATTGTGTAGGCGGATTAAACTTTCTAATTAAGATATCTTTTTTCTATGTAAACAACATTTTTTTTTTACTTATTTTAATGTAATATATATTTTCTCAATTCTATTATTTTTAAATTTTTGCCTTTGATTCAATTGTTTGAGTATCTAAATTTGTTCTTTTTTTTTTTCCAATCAAACCAGCCTAAAGAAAAAAATAGGTTCACAAATTGGCAGAATATGGTGTGATTGAAAATATAACTTTAGCAAGTTATGATAAAGATCAAATAATTGGAGTTCCACTGCTTTTACTGTTCTATCTTTTAAATTGGTCAAATAATAATTATACTCTAAATAGTATTTTTCAAATATTTTCATTGTATACTTAAAAAATTCAGTTGGGATTAAAATTATACATAAAAAATTAATTCTGTATCTTTAGTAGTAATTTGTAATGTTAAAAGAAGATAACTTTTGATGCTCTAATTATTGAGAAGGAAAAGGTAAAGGAGGTAATTGTTGAGTAGGTCTGATCACATCTTTATAGAAGTATATAAGAGTATCTCAAATTTCATATAGATTAATCCAATTGATACATTATTTGTCATCATTTTTTTCTAAAAACTCTCTTATCACCTTATTATATTTATCAAGTAAATCATTGTGCACTTTTGCGTCTGAGTTGTCTATTACAGCCAAGTTCCAGATGTTAGGTCCAAATGGTAATTTTTTTTGTGGCCTGGAGTGCTTCATTCTTTTTTTTTTCTAAATAACATTCATATTTTTTGTGTGTGTGCTGTAATGTATACAGATAGTAATACAGCCATTAATGAATGTTAAAAGTTTGGGATGTTGACAGATACTTAACATTAAATATGTTATTCAGAAATTTTAAAATTAGGAGGACATCAAATTTTGAACATCAGGCACCTTGATGATTTTTTATAGTCTCTGTATGATTTTTAACACCTGATTTCTTGATATTAATGGAGTAGGATTTTAGATGGTTGAAAAGAGTTTTCTCAATAACATCAGTCAGGTTATTGATGAAAACAATTTTTGGATGAGAATCTCATTGTTAAGTAATAAATTCCATAAGTATAATTGTAAAGGTTTAAAATAAATTTGATAATCTTTTCAAATTCAGCCAATTATTGAATAAATTTAAAAATGTATGAAATGAAAATATTTTACTAATTGAGGTAATATATTATGTGTGACTGTGTGTAGTTTTATCACTTTCTGCTAAAACAAAGTTGAAGTTGTAATTGATAAATTATTAATATTATTGTGGATTTAATTTCTATATAGTTTATGAAGAATAGATTATATTTTTTATTTTTTTTATTTGAAAAGAGTGAAAAGATTATATGTTAAAGAACTATACTCAGTAGTTATAACACCTATATTTTCCAAGCATCTTGGCCATTCACTTTCATTAATTTCTCTTGTTCAAATTCTTTCATTTCATAAATAAATGGTAGTATAAATTTGTTAAAATTACCATCAAATGGAACGAATCCAAGAACAAAGTGAGACTATGTGGTAATCCACGTTTTTGGAATTCTATTACATGAACATGAGCTTATAACTTTTCCAAGTACATCTTTTACAAAGAAATCTTTAGTAGTTAATTCAAATTATTAACCACTTCTTTAGTCATATTGTTATCCTTTACAATCTTTTTATTAGTATCTGAAGATCATCTTTAATTCCATTAGGAGTTCTTTCAGGAAGAAGTGGTGAATGGTTATATACATCCATGCAAATAATTATTATACAGTTCAGTCATCCTTTGTCTTTTATCATTAATAGCTTATTTATGTTGTTGAATTTTATCAGTAATTCCAAACTAAGCATCTGTGTTTCTTTTAAGAAAAATGAATTACTCCTTAGTTATAAATTAACGCATATTTCTTAGTGATGCTTGATCTGCCTGCTGATTACGCTGAATGGTATTTAATGTTGTTTGCATGTTTCTTACGGCATTCAGTGTTGTTTGTAATTATAGTAATATATTTGTTAAATTATTAAATGTATTAGATTTAATAAATAATCAGCAAAAACTTACTAGAACATTGGCATTTAATAATGTCAATTTCTATGTCCGAATATTTCTTTCTTAGTATTTTATAACAAATTGTATAAGTTCTATATTAATAGTAAAAATTGGCCCATCCCAATCTATACCATGTTATTATATTATTCTAATAAATTAATGAATTCTTTTATAAATAGTTAAGTATTTTTTTGACTGCAGAATATTGTTTAATCGTGTTTAAGAAGTTTATCTACTTCATTGTCTTTCTCTTTTAACGTTATTTGAAAATAATCTTAGAATCTAAAAAATATATATTATAATAACAAGATAAAGGGGAGAATTTATAAAGAAAATCTGATTTTTTTCCAAATAAGCAGGTACAACTTCTAATTTTCGTGCATTCTGGATTCCATTTGCGTCACATGCTCGCATGAAATCTTCCAAGCAATCAGTTCTTGATTATCTCCATAAAATCCTTCACGTTAATAAAGCCTTCCAGTGTCCTTCAATAAACATTGTTGTCTTAAGAATTGAAATATTTTCATGTAGTGATCTTGCCCACAACTTCCATCATCCTTCACTGTACAATTCTCTCCATAAGTCATTTGTCTCCTCCTTCTATTTCTTTCTTTTTGTAACTTTTTGTTTTTCTTGGTAAAAATTATTAATGATACAGGCTTCACGTGGTATAGTACATGCGTAATTCAGTTTGTTATTATTTTTATTATATTGTTTTCCTTTCTTTTAGTAATAATTTCATATATTGTTTTTCTCAGTGAGAGTTGATTTAATCTTTTTTTAATTCTGTTAAAAATTTTTGACGGCTAAATAAGAAGTTGTCACCTGTTCATGATATATTTGTAATGACCACATTTTAGGTAAAGAGCCTAAATCCATTTTTGGATTCCTTTAAGATATCCATAACAAGATCTAGGCATGGTATTAAAACAACAGATGTTAATTATAGTATTTTTCTTCTTTCATATCATTATAATTTTATATTATTTTAATTTTTTGATGGCATCTATGACATCTTCTAATTCTTCTTTGGCAATGTTTAGTTTTCCTCCGTCATCTTTAACTTTACCTTAGATATTACTTTTTCTTATCGTGATAATCTGTTGTATCCTTCGGTATAATATAATTGTTGGTTTATTCTTAAGATAAATGTTTAAATGTCAAGTAATCTATAATTCATGGTGTTCAATATTGCCTATAAACTTTTTGAAGTCTATAATTATTTTGTCTTTTATAATAGATATTACTTCTTCAACTATAACCTTATAATACCTTGAAATTATTTCTTTTTCGTATTTAAGAAAAAAAAAACAATTTTACAATGAATACAATGAATTATAAGTCTTGGATCTTTTATTGTTAGAAACAAGTTAAATAATAATTATTGTGTTAAATCTTCTTATCTATATTCTATGTTATAAAATTGCTTAATATTATAAATATATCATCTATAATAAATAAATATCATTTTTTTAGAGTAAAGTTCAAGTATTTGAAAGCTTAATAGAAATGCTTACTATAAGTTCTTTAAGATTATTAAAGGTAAAATAAAATTATTTTATATATTTTTTCATTATCCGTTAAAGTTTTTAATAAAAAAAACGAGGGAAGAAAAAAATGTTGGAAGGAGAAGTGTTTAAATAAAAATATTTTCGGGTATGGCTTTGAATTTTTTTTTTTTTTTTTGGCTTATTGTTTCAATATTTTATTTTATTTATTTTATTTTTTTTTTCCCGAAGGAAATAGCCACAATTTAACCCGGTTAGTTATTATATATCACAAAAAGTTTCGTCCAATAATATTCAATAATATATCCAAAAATTACCCTAAGTTTATTTTTTAGGACAAAAAGAAAAATTCAATTTATTATTCTAATCGATAATGTTTATGATTCTCTTTCAAAACTCTTTCAATAAGTACAGAAATTTACCTTTTTTATAAATTAATGTGATATATTTTAAAATAAAGCATGAATACATATTGTTTATTATGTATTTTTTTTTGTAGTATAATGTAAAAAAAACCGTAAAATTTTTTGTTTTCTATGAGCGGTAAATTTTCAAGGTAGTGTTTTTAATTTTGGGCAACAATAGCTTAATAATTCGACAGATCACGTAGGAGTGAGAATGAATATATTTTACGAGCAAGGAATTATTCTTACGACAGTTTAAAATATTGATGACATGTGATCGTAAAAGCGCAAATTACACACACTACTTCCCACCATTTCCACCATTTACTACTTACATACTGTCATATTTAATGAACATTGCAGGCGGTAATTTCCAGATGAGGCCTGTGATAACTATGATTCGTATTCTCTTCATCAGATTTATCATACTTGAGTTTTTTATAACGTTAAAATCAATGTTTATGTCTATTGGTCAAGCCTTTGAAAGCGATACTATTACATCCGAAAAAGAATTATTGCTGAGATAATGAGCAAGTTATAGTTGCGACTTTACTGTTACAAAAGGTAATTTACGTAATCATTTTCTGAAGCAGGAGTTGCATAGTCTTGGAAGGGTGCCGTATTCCTATTCGCAAAAATTCAACCTCACGTTCTTTTTTTTTTTTTGTAAGAATGAAACATGGAATAAAAGGAATTCTATGAGCGCGTCAATCTCGATAAAAAGTGGCAAAAAAAAGTGTTTTATTGTTTACTACCTTTAATTGTACTCTGTGTTAACCGCTTTATTTCGCTCAAACCAGTGAAGCTAACGTCAAAGGAGCTTATCAGCGAATTTGATTCATCAATGTATATCAGTATATGCCAAGCCGCTCTACAACAATGATTTAGCGTTTTTACACTCCTAAAATGATATCAAAAATCCTGACAACTGAAGGTCTTATTAACAACTAAGCTCTTATAATATACAGTATAACGATAAAATCCAATTGTTTAAATTTTATTTATGAAAAGAAATTTATATTTTTGAAAGTATTATAATAGTTAGAATAGTTTCTCACATTCAAAAAAAAGTACTTTACTAATTTTAATTCTCCTCTTTTTTTAATAATAACATGATTTAATAAGTTGCTAACTAATTTAATAATTCAAAACACTAACCAAACTTTTCTTGTTAAAAGATTCAAAATTATCATATAACTTACGTTATAAATGTTTTACAAAGTAAGTTGTTTTTTACTGATAATGTAAAAAAAGAAGATAGATGAACTATCTTCTATAAATTGTAGCAAAGAATCTGTAAATAGTGTGCTTCAGACCTATTTTCAAAAAATGTCCCAAGTCCATCTATAACATTTTCCCAAAATGTTTGTAAATTTTAATTAAGGATAAAGTTTCATAAAGATAATTTGAGGTTATGTATTTATCTGTCTATAAATACTCAAATAAGTCACAGTATATCTGAACATTTGTTTAAAAATTATAGTTAAAATAAATGAAACCTTTTTTATATTTTAAGAAGTTTCCAAAATTGTTTGAAAACAATTTAAATAAGAAAGTTTATTCATTTATATCGCGAATACGGTTATACCTAATGATTACTGCTGCCAATAAATTAATTACGCGTGACCAATTAAACGTAAAAATTCTAGACTAAAATTAATATTTAAGTATTTAGTTCCGTATTTTCATTTTCTTGTCTAATCATCTCATATTCTCTAGTGAATTTTTTGTGTTTAAATTTAACTTCTTTAACTTTCTGTAAATAATAATCATCTAAATAATAATCTCGTAACAAAGTTTCCAAGATTTGAACCCTTTCCTCTAAAGATGATCCTTCAGGTCTTTTATTAACCTTTTCAGCTAATGGAATACCAGCAGATGAAACATATTTTCTTGCAAATTTTTTCTTTAAACTTTTTCTACAAGGCATGCAAGTAAAAAGATATTTTTGTGCTAAACCCCTTTAATATTAAAGATTGTCAGTTTTGGAATTTATATAAAAAATTTAATCTTGTTTTACGAAATATTATTTACCATGGTTCATGTTTTTGCATTCCAAAAAGTAAATAAAAAATCCCTATAAATTATGTTAATTTTACAGTTTATCTATTTGATTGATTAATTCGAATGTTACTATTTATAGCTTACCGGCCGTGGCACCATAAAAACCTCCAAGATTAGATAAAAAATCTGTGTCTAATAAAATTAAATTTATATTAAACAAAATTATTTTACAAATCTGAGTTTACAAATATTATATAGTATAATATGCTTACAATCATATATTCTTCTTATTTCAACTCTTGGATTTGAACGTGGATAAATATAAAGACGAATTTCATTAGACGCTAACTGTATGGGTAATTGTTCTAGTTGCGGATTTAATTCTAATTTATATAATTCATTATCATTAACAATGATTGGATTAAAAGATATAAAATAAGTTTGACCAAGATAAAGTGAGAAATGAGCTGGTTCTATTCTTCCAAATTTATTTTTAGAAATAAATGATTCTAGATATTCAAAATCATTGTCAAATCTATAGTTATCGAAAGTTGTGACAGGAAGGTCAACATTGTCAACATTTTCAGTAAAGTGAAATGTTTCAATACTTAAAAATAATAAATTATTAGGAATATTGAGAAGAGATATATTATATAAAAAAAAATCAAAATCATATGTTATATTTCGATTGGTATAATTATTAAGATTATTAAGAGTAGTGGTGATAATCAGTGAAGGTTGTGACATACGTGGAGAAGAAGATAATTTATAGTTTAAATTAACAATTTGATAATAGGAAGTATGATTATTAATTTGTGTCGACGTAAGATTCCCTTCTCTTGTAACAATATTCATTTCATTAGAAATTCCTGTACACATTTTTATATTGAGTCCATAATCCATTTTGTCATATTCCCTACCATTCTTAACATTTTTAAGAATGACAGTAACATCTCTGTTAATTTTATGAAATTGAATGCTTGAATAATAAATGATTGCCCCCATGAGAATAATGGCAAAAAAACCTCGAACAAATCTAAACCAAACTGGTTCAGTTGATCGATAATTATAAATTGTATCTAAAAACATTGTTAAACTTTATCATTTAATATTATTATAGAAACTAATTTTAAGCAATCCAAGCTTTTAATAATTAAAAGAAGCTTTCAAGAATTCTACGCATAATTTAATTGATCAACAAAAGTTTAGCCTTTTTAATACTATCCTAGTGTTCTATTCACTGGTGGCTATTAGGTGGCGTCGGAATTGCCAAATTAAATTACGATTTTCATTTAGATATTTGACAAAACGTCTTATAGATTTACGGATTACAGATTATCTACACATAACAAGAAAAAATTTTCACTTTCTTTATGTAATTTTTGTATTTTTGGTATTAATATTATCGGCAATTTAATGTATTGCGGTATAAGCTTCATGGAATTGATTCTGACGGCAAGTATACTGGTGGCTGAGTCTGATCGTTAAAGTAAAACCTGTAAAACTGGTAAAAAATAATATCTATAAAAATAATGTACTTTCTATTGGTCCTTATATAAGTTGAAAAAAAGAATGGATTTCCGTTCACGAAATCGTTACTTTAATATTATATTCTTGGGAATATTTTTTAGTGAAATTATAATTTATATTATATGCCTATTTAAATTGCCAATAAGAACGAATTGGTTGATTTTATATGTGTCTACAATTTTTATGTCAGGAATTTATACTGTAAGTTGGTTTTTATTAACTTATTTGTTCCCATATTTATTATCCCTTACTAAAAAATTATTTCTATTTCGTTCATAAAAATAGTTTCTTAAAAAGACATTACTTTATTTATTAGCTTTTTGCGTAATAAATATGTTACAAATCTCGTTTTTAATTGATCTTGTGCGTTTGGAGATTTACTTCTGTTCACATGGAATAGTTGAAATACGTTATCTTTTATTATTAAGTAACAAAATTTTATAATTAATTATTATTTTACTTTTAATTTTTTATCTTAATTAATTTTTTTAAATATCATGTAAAGTAAACAAAGAACAATTAAAAGATGGAAAGGATTGTAGAAAGACATTTATTATTCCAATTATTATCGCTATTGCTTTAATATTATTTTTTGTTATTTTATATATTATTTTACTTATTATAATGTGGAAAATTAAGTAAGTCAGATTAAAAATTCAAGTTAATTTTCTAAGCAAATTTTTATAAATATGTTGTAAATTTAGATACTGGAATGTTACTTCACGTACTAAAATCACAATGCCACATGATCTAAAAAGTAAGTGATTATGAAATGATCTTTTTTAAAATCATTTATTAATATTGATTTGAATTCTCCGTTTTTTTTTTTTTTAAAAAAAAAATTAACATTAGAGCCTTACATTATATTCAAAATTTATAACTCCTTATTATATATAATATTACATATTATTTTCCTATTTGATGTTATTATGTTTATATCGGGGGGTATCTCTTTGGTTAAACACATTACTATTGAAAAATTGTTTGTATACTTTTGCCCATTATTTATTTTAATATTCAGTTCAAAAATTGTAAGTTTATTATGTATTTAGCATTATTATTATAATTTTGAAATTTATTAATTTTTTTTTAATTTTAGATTAAAGAAGAGTTAAAGTTTTATATTTTTTTAATTTATGTCGCCATCATCGTACAAATTGTTTTTTTATTTTTATTTTATATTTATGATAATTTTAAATTATATTCAGTTACAACATTTGCAATGTTAATTTTATTAAGTTTATTATTTATAATTACAATTTTATGTCACCGAAACTTTGGTAAAAATCTTCAATTTTATAGTAAGTATTCTATATGTACATATATATTATTTATGAAATTTATAAATTATCTTTCGGAATTAATCTAATTTTTATTTTTTAGTAAAGTTTGATCCTAAATTGGATAAAGAATACGAGTATTCAAATGATTTGAATGATTATGATGACTATGATGACGACAATGAGGAAGAAGAAAAAGATGAAAAGATTTTTGAAAAATTAAAGCGACATTGGAAATCATTTTATGATTCTTTTATTTTACACATTACTGACATTAGTGAATAGATATGTTGGGATAAGAATATTTAAAGGTTAGAGGAAATTTTCTGATCTTCTTTTGCTTGTATTCCTTAGAGGATATCGGCCTAAATTAGACTAAATTTACAAACGGGATAAAATTCTGGCTGGGAAGTTACTGTAAGAACTGCCTATTTTACAATAACCATTTCATTTATGCATTGCTATTTGATATACTGAAATTAAATGAGAAAAATGATTCATAATATTTTATTTTAAGTATGAAATAATTTGTATTTCAATTAGTTTATTTTACCGTAAAGAAAAAATGCAACATTATAATATATGTTAAGATTCTGATAGAAGTAATATTGCTTTATGTTCTTTTTTTATTTTTATACCACATATAAAAAGAAAAATCCAATCGTTAATATAATGTCTCTAGCCCTCATTATGGTGATTTCGCCATCATTACAGATAAATCCTAAAATTACTGAATATAAGAAGTAATCACGTAAACAATTGCATCTTATAAAGAAATAGAAAATTTATTCAATTTCAAACCATCTCATATTTATTATTATTATACTCATTTAAACATCACTATATAATCTTGCTATTAGGTTATTACCTTTTCCTAATCTATCCACTTATTCCAATAATCCACTTAGTCCTCTTTACCCTTACCCTTACCCTACTGTAGTCATATCACGATTTTTCTACTGAATAAATTTGTTAATTAAAAATCGTAGTCTCAGTTGATGCGTCAGCATTTCTCTGAAAAATTTTTCATAGATTGTTTCTCCATTCTCTAATAACATCGTGGATTAATGTTATTTATTACTCTTGAAGAAAAAAAACACTCATAAAAAATTATTCAAACGCGTTTACGAAATTGGTAACTAAACGTGTTTGTGAAATTGATTATGGAATTTCTTGAAGAAAAACACATTCGTAAAAATTCAAAAATTCATCTAAATGAGTGAAAGAAATTGGTTGATAAAGTTCCTTTAGGAAAAAAACGTTTATGATTATCCTTTCGCTGTATTGTACACTTATTTCTTTTAATTTGTGCATACACTTTAATTTCAATTTCACACTTTCACGCAATAGTCGAGATGGTGATAGCCTAATAGTATTGAAAATTTATGGATCAAAGTAAAAGAATTTAACAGACATTTAAATTATTATATCTCATAATGGTGAATAGAACTTATTTTGGGCTTTGATAGGTACAGATGTGCCACTAAGAAAATATACACCCATTCTTATTTCGAATAGATAGTTAAAGCCTCCTCTTCTCTTATTGTTTAATTAGTGGATTTAGGGCTATGTAGACCTACCAAATCCTTTTTAAGGTCCCTATCGATTTTTCTTAACAAGTGCCGGAGTTTATTCGTTCACAGATGACAAATTCAAATTAAGAAAAGAAATAGAAAAGAATCTCTGCAAAAATCAAAATATGAATTCTAAGAAAATTTTTAAAATAATATCTATTATTATCCTTTTTCTAACAAAAAGAGCATTTGATAAAAAAACAAAGTTGAAAAAGAAGAGGGAAGAGCGCAGAATTATTAGGTTATACAGAGGCCTAGCAAGAGATTCGTCAAACTTTTTCCGAGATGAAGTGTCTCAGTTTAATGCTGAGCCATTTGCAATTTACTGCAAGACGTCTGATTCAAGCGAGAAAATATGTTAATGATATCCTGATGGGTAAAGTTTGTCCCAGTCTGCGGCCAGGGTATATGGTGAATGTATTATCAAGTCCTTATTGCGTCTAATGAATTAGATCACTTAAGATGATGATGCCTAATTTATCAATCTTCCAATTTCTTTTGAAAAATTTCATTTATGAAAGATTTGAATTATTTTAATAATAAACGGACGTTACATCCTGATCAAAGTTACACAATTAAGAATATTTGCACCAAAGAACTTGATACTATAGGAATTGATTTTTAATCAACGTTTATTTACTGTAAATCAAAAGAGTGTTTCGATGAAAAATTTTCATTATCGCACATTAAAACTCAGAATAACGATATATTGGAAATCATATAATGGTATATATCAAGGTTTGGCTGTAGACGGAATAAAAATGCTAAAAGAGTGATTTATATATATATAAGATTATTCCAAATTTAAATCTGGGATATTACACATAATTTTATCAATGTAATCAACATAGAAAATTTTTTTTATTTTTTATTTTTCTTATCATGTAAAATTTAATAGTCCAAAATAATTAGGTTCATTTAATTTAAATAAGTTGAATCCTCATTTATGTTTATAAATTTAAATCTTATCAAAATTCATGAAATTTTTCGTAATAAAATGATTATTCTATAAGAATTTTCTTAAAATAACAGATTTATTAATTGAAAATTTATACATTTTGGAAAAAGCTTATTGTCGCGCGTAAATAAAGTATTATGATCATTATTTAATATGACCATACCAGATAAGAAAGACTTGATTTAGCTAATTATTAGAGATCAAAAAAAAAAAAAAATTTGAATACCTACTAGTAGCTATTTTGTTTGATCTTAAAAATTAACGGAGTAATATAAAAAGAAATCTACAAAATTATAAGAATCTTGAAATAATAGAAAAAGAATAAACTATAAAGTAAATGAATAATTAAAAATTTGCCACTAAAAATGATATCTAATTTAAATATTGTTGTTAAAAAATTAAATCTTTACTGATGAAAACATAAGTTTGAAAAGCAATTTCCTATTCATGTATATTTATAAGTCGTACGAATTGTATAATTCTTTATCTCTTCTAATTCTTTTGTCGTCCAGATAGGTTTATAAGATAAATGAATGGATGACAAAGACGTTTTTTAAAAAAGAAATAGTTAATATAATAAACAAAGAGATAAAAGAGAAAAAAAGCTTATTATTATAGAATATGGCAGATGCAATCCAAATCATCTCGATCGACCACATTCGATCACATTTGGTTTTTAAATTAGACACTCATTTAAGCAATCCTTGATGTATTTATTAAGAGTACGCCCATTCTTCTATTACCGTTCCAGTTTTGAGAAATCTCCAATCTTTTAAATTGTTCGCTACCATCATCATCACGAAATTTTGTTCGTCGCGTATACCTACTTCACTAATTTTTGATATATAAATTGATGCTTACTTAACTTGACGGATGTAATAACTCACAACCAAAATATTGAAATTGCGCTCTCTAGTTGTTCAAAACGCATATACCAGCCACTTCAATATTGACTTTTGTAACAAGCCATATTGATAGACGCATTTGATGGAGTATTATTTGTACCTCTCAGACATAATGAATTCCTTCATTGCTCGTTACTGTCAATTTCCGCAACAAGTTGCTCGAACAGCATTTAGACGGTCATTAAATTGATTATACAGTAGGGCCTCCTGATTGTTTCTTAATTGGAACTTTCGTTAAATGCATTATGATATATTTTTAATCGCTTTAATATCGTAATAATAACTAAAATTGTTTAACTGGAAGTAAGATCAATTGTTGTACAAATCATTTCATTACTGTTCATCCATCTAATGCTGCAGATTCTTTTAATGGAAGGAGGTTATCTTGAACATAGAATCATTAAAGTGACGATAGTTGTAACAACTAATTCTTCTCCTCTTTTTCACCATCTTGATCTTCACTATCTTTACAAAATCATGGAGAGTTTTTTAGCAAATATGAATATATGAATAATATAAATAAACGAAATGAAACAATACCTGCAGTATCAAGTTCTTTGGTATAAAATTTTTTTTTTTTTTTTGGATCATGCATGATCAGGATGGCGTCCATTTTATCATTAGAATATCTGAATGTTTCATAAATTAAATTCTTCAAGAAAACTTGAAAGAAAATTGATCCAATTAAACATCAACATAACCTACAGTAAGTGTTTTTACAGATTTTGAATGTGTAAATTTTTGTAAATGTCCGAAGCTACTGTATAAACGCTATTAATATCATGTACTTGACATTTAAATTGAAATTTAAATCATTACCTAATGAAATGTATCAAGGGAAGTCATACAATTAGCTCATTTTTTCCGAATTACATTGCACTACAATTCCTTAGGTTTGAAGTTCGCCCATAACGCAAAATAGAGCTACTGAAATAAAATAGTTATGAAAATGCTGTAATCATACTTTAGTTAATTTTCTTGTTACCTACCTCAGAAGGTTTTGCGCTATTTATTCTATTAAAGTGACGATATTACATTCCTCGTATATAAAATTGCTTGTCAGGACTTTCTATAGTCCCTCTATCGAAACAACTGTGAAAATTAAGATTTTTGATAAATGGCGAATACATGTATTATGTAGTTCTGCTAAATGAAGTTTATTTATATACACAGTTTTTGTGAAACTTGGGACTATAATAGGTAAGTCGTGGGTGGACAATCATTCAACAATCAAATTTTATGAAAATCGGAGCGATATATTATAGATTCATAATGGCTTTACATAATAACTCCATTAGAATAAATAATTCATTTAAGTACTGAAAATTGAAAAAAAGAGATTATATACAGTATGTATATATAACAAAGAGTTGTTCTATATATCGAATTGTATCTTTCTTTTTTTTTTTAAAAAAAAAAAAATACGATAGGGATATCCATTTTCTTTATGAACTTTAGAACAAGAAATTTAATTACATATTGTTATTTACCTTCGAAATTCTTTATATTTTTTTGTTACTTTTAATTTGCGAAGTCTGTAATAGCCAGGTTGTAATAGCTTTGCATTTCCAAGGTATTATTTTTGTAATCTTCGTAAAGACCCAATCACACCTAAAATTTATGAACGAGTGAATATTAGTTTGCCATCAGCCTTAGGAACACCCTAAAACCTTTGCAAAGGAAGTTCTAGAAACCTAGGTTTCTAGGGAGACTGCTCGAAAAGCACAAATATTTATAACAAATTTTTAGGAGATCAATGTGATGTAGTCAGGTTGAGAAGGAAGTTATCTTACTGCGTTGTTTTATTATAATTGTGATACGGTTAATAGAATATTGGATTATTAATAGATAACAATAGAGGACAATTTTTGTCTTGTGTGGTGTTTCTTGGTATAGTAAAAAATTGGATCACTACTATATAACGACAGAGAGCGATTTATATCGTGTATTATATGTATGGAAACAATATATTATTCAAAGAATAGGAATAAGTAAAATAGATGGAGATGTAAAGTAAAGGAACTATTATTGTATAAACAAGTAATATGTTTTTTATTAGATGTGTTGCCTATGATAATCTGAGTTATTTATCCATCAAAAGCATGTAACGGGACACCGCAAAGTAATAATTAGAAAACAATGTTAACGAAGATTTACAGGGCAAAGATTACGCAATCGCATCGTTCTGATACATATATCTGTTTTCATTAATACGTTAATTAGAATAAAATTTGATGTACAGTACATCAAAATCACGCAGTGGCCTCTCAAAAATAAATTTTTCGAGAGTGAAAGTTTTCATTATTTCCTTCCTTGCCTTGGTTCCAGGGAATTTTTCGCTAAAACAACTGGATTATCTCCCGCAGAAGCTAATGAGCTAATGCTTCAAGGGAGACATTGATTCGATTTCAAAACTTTAGCTATAACATATTCAATATCCTCCACGCTTAATCTCGAAATAAACGATGCGGAAAAGTTTATTTGAAACAATATGTTGAATATATGTTAATATTTTCACAGATAAAATGAATATTTCACAATGATATGCATTTTGTTTTTTTGTATTAAGTAACTAAGCAGTGTGCTTCAGAAACAAACTAATTATCAATCAGTTATGCATATTTTACATATTTTAACGTTATACATGTTTATTATTATTATATATATTATATTTATCTGTTCATTGTATTATTGTAATTATTATTTCAAACCTGCAATGTAGCATTCGTAATCTGTAATATAAAGAGAAAATTTAATTAATTTCCCCTATCTCCATCAATTAACAACAAGAGTTTACTTTACTGTAATAATTTCCACCTAATAGCAAGCATAAAACGATAAAGTATATAAACTAATCAGTGAATTTTCTTTCTTGAACTCTTCTTTTTTGAACTCTTCTTTTTCTTTTTTTCTTCTTTCATTAGTAACTTTACAAAAGGGACAAGATCATGCATGGAACCTGAGAGAAAATAAATAGTTATAAAAAATAATAATTTTTAAAATAAGCAAATTTATTCATACCATCATCAGTTTCAACAATATTCCCTGTATCAGATTCTATGATCCATTCCACCGATTTAAGCTCAAATCCCTTTGTCACACTTTCCACTCCTTTGAAGTAATCCCCATGAAACACTAATGTACTTGACATAGCGTCCAAAATAAACACACGGCCGAAGCAGTCCAGGAAAAGTATTCCGCAGTCTTGTTCCCCAATTATGATAATATGATCAAAGTCATATTCCATAACTTCCTCAATGTAAATGTTAAGTTCTTCTTTTATATAATTGATATAATCATCTTGATCTTTATCGAGGATCCCATAACCAAGTGAATTTGCAATATAGCAACGGTTAGGCTTCATAATTGTATCAATTAAAATTGGGTAATTGTTGCGATACCCATCTCCTCCATCAATCTCATCACTTGGGAACACTTGGCACAAGGAGGCATCATTTTCGTTACTGCATATTTTAGGCTGATCGTTCGGCAGTACAAGTTGGCAGAACTTCTTCTTGTACCGTGTGCTGCCCCCAGGGGTATTGACTCGGAGCAATGGCCCCAATTGTTCCGACAGAGTCTGGATTCGTTTTGAGGATTCTGATAGCACCGATTGAGTGCCGGTATTGCGTTTACTCTCGCCCTCGCTATATTCAGGTTGGTGGTTTTTGTCCTTGGCGATAGATCCCCACTGCGTACCGACGCTCCGAACATGATTCAGATTATCCTCTCGTTTTTCACCGAAATCATCAAATTCACTGTTGATGGATGGTTTAGGTGATTCAATTCCATCATATTGATTTGGTCGACCAAGAGGTATTGCATTTTGGCAAGGTATGTCAACTTGTTTTGAAAACTCATCACTCCCTGGGAACTCATCTTCTTCATTACATAGTGTGCCCACAATAGGCACACTACGTCCCAAAACGTTATCATTATAATTGGTCGACAAAAAGGTGTTCTTACCATAATTCCCTGGACCCCGAATGGAATTACAATTCCTTGAGTCCTACATAAAAAAATTTGTTGAGTATATTTTCTTTGTCTTTTGAAAACTAGTATAAAATCGGGTAGTTATATTATATGAATATATATATATATAAGATACTGTACATGAAAGGTATCACAAAAGAATCTATCAACTTTATCGTCCATGGCTCATGTAATTTAAAACACCAAGAAAGAACGTTTATTAGACTAAAGTAAGTACAAAAGCGCCACTTTCAGGTAGTTATAAACGTGACAACGGCACTCAAAACCTACATTTGGATATCTCTTGGAATTCTTGGAATTTACAAATTGATACAACGAATCAAATCGGCTGGGAATGTGAAATACTATGTGGCATAATCCTATTGATTACAGCTTTGTTATTAATAGCGTGAGTCATTACAGTATACATTTATTTTACTACTCTTAAATAAAATACTCAACTGCCATTTAAAGTTAGATTATGTAAATATACCCTTTATATGAAAATTAGACTTTTGTTTTAATTGTATACTGGCGCAGAAGAGTTATAAATTATATTATAAAATTAGTCGAAAATGGATAACTATCTTTAGTAATACACTGCCTAATTCAAAATTTTTTCATTACTTTAAGGGCAGTGACATATATTAGCTAATATTTTTTTATTATAAGCGTATACCCAGTCATTGTACGTCTTCCTTATCAATAAGGATGGTATGTGAAAGCGTACTCATTGGATATAGCCCTACGAAAAAAATGCGTCCGGAAAATATTCTGAAATTGTCCGGAATATAATTGTACAAATTCCGGACAAAATGAGTGTCCTGAAAACATACGAAAACGCGCAAGATTTGGAACATTTTCCGGACATTGATTTTTGTCCGAAGTTTGTCCGGATTTGGAATTTGTCTGGAAAAAAAATTTTCTCTGAAATGATCGGCAAGTCATATCAATGATATATTCCTTTATACAAATACCCAACTGCTGATAACTGTTTACAGCAGTTTAAATTAACATCATAGATAGTATTTTTGCTTGCTCTTTAAGGTTACTTAGTATACACACAAAGGTTTTAAATACCAGTTTTTTGCTTTTTACATTTTTTGATTTTTTATTGTCCAGAATTTGCCTGGAATTTTTTCTCATCTAATTACCAGAATTTGTCCGGTTTTTTTTGTCCAGAGATTGTCCATAATGTGTCCAGGATTTTTTGTGTCCAGAATTTGTCCAGTTTTGTCTATCCGAAATTTGTCCTGAATTTTTCATGTCTGGACAAATTCCGGACTTCAAAAAATTCCGGACACCATATTTTTCATAATTCCGGACATTTTCCAGACATTTTATAGGTATACTGGACAATTTCCGAACAGTTTTGGTGATAAATTCCGGACATTCTTTTTTCGTAGGGTAGTATGAGCCATTTTTGTGTGACTGACGCAATAACCTAGTCATTGATTGGTTATGGTGGATGAAATAATTGAAATATCGTGTTACCCCTTCGGGTCAATACTATTATATAAAATTTACATCACGTGATATCAGTATATAACGAACTACTTGATGAATTTCTTCAGTAAAGGTCTAACTTCTAACTTCAACGTCAATTAAAGCTAATTATGTCAAATACATAAAATCATTATGATAAATATGATTATTAACTTATTTATTCAAATTTTGTTTATAAAATATCAGTATTAAATTCAATGATTCTGATAGAAGTAATATTGCTTTATATTCTTTTTTTATTTTTATACCACATATAAAAAGAAAAATCCAATCGTTAGTATAATGTCTCCAGCCCTCATTATGGTGATTTCGCCATCATTACAGATAAATCCTAAAATTACTGAATATAAGAAGTAATCACGTAAACAATTGCATCTTACATTCAGATAAATGCTTACGTGTTCTCCAAAAATGCACATCTATACTTAAATAAATTTATGAAATCTATTATAATAACTTATAATTTTTCCATAGAATAAGAATATAAAATCAAAAATAGAAAGAAATTGAGCGAAGAAAGATTTTGAACAGCATATAAATCAAGAAGTTAGATATTTTCAAAATACATAAGATTATTCAATTGTCGGTAAGTTCCAAATGATTAGTTACGAAATCGAAAGATATTTATTGTTTGTAGTATGTGTTTTTAGGAATAAATTTGTGCAACAAGATTGTTTGAGAATGCTTCTCAGACCATCGCGGTTGTATAAAACATTTCCGTATCAGTTATATAGCTCGGCCGTTTGTTCGTGATAATCACATGTAGTATTTGATTCACAAAAAATTGAGCTTTTGTTTATAAATAAGGAAATTTTCAATATATAAAAGTCATAAAATATTCAACTTTGAACCTTTACCTTTCTTTAAAAAATCTTCATCACAAAATGTCACACCCAAGACTCATGTTAATTTCAACATCCTGAACATACTGAAGTTGAAAAATTAATCGGTCGTGAAGGGCGTAACTTAAACCTATTAATACGAAGACTGGTACATTCGTTATTAGTGTTAATACAAATACAAATCCAGCACAGATTGAAATCAAATATAATCCACATTATTTACCATTTAACAATCAAATCAATGAAGTAAAAAAACTGTTAAATAATTTAACCAAAAATATTGAAAAGGAAGAGAAAAGGAATATACAGTACGTCTTTTGGAAAAGAAAAAGGAAAAAAACGTTGGATTTCTAGCTGATTTTGATAGTGGTACTGTTAGCAACAATCGCGTGGTATCGAGATATCAAAAAGAAATTACTGTGAAGAAAGAGAAACAAAGATCTAAGAAAAAAATTTCGACTACTATTAATTCTCATATGGAGGACTGGAAGGAGAACGTCACGTAGTGTTAGTTATACAATGGCTTAGCAGGCTTTGAAATGTTGAGGAAACCTCCAAGCTTTTCGTCTGTCATCATGAAAAGCTATAATAGAGTTTAAAATGTATTATAAACCTAAGTTGGATTGTGTATAAAAATGGAAACCAGAATACTGATACGTAAATTAATTAAAATAATACTTACAATACTTGAATTTCGCCTTGTCCCCTTGATACTTTATGAAATGGATTTTTACGAGAAAGTGAACCATGCCCTAAAGCATATTGAAAGTTGATTGTTTGCTTGGTCAAAATTATCAGATTTCATGAAATGAATTTTGAATCTACGTTATAGGATCGATATCGAACTAGTCATTTTGGATCGCATCATTAAATAGTAGTGTATTTAATTATTTAATTTTACTCTTTCATTATTATCATACTTTGAAAGAAAAGGTATCGGGACATTTCGCCGAAAGCCATTTCGCCGAAAAATAATCTCTGGCCTGAGTTATTTATAATTCTGCATAATGTTGGCCCTATTTTTCGGCGAAACGTCCTTTCGGCGAAATGTACCTAACCTTTGAAAATAAACAACGATTTCACATGATGATCTACATTGACAATCCAATGAAATTAGATTCACGTGACACGTTAATTTACTTTCTTGTATTATCAATGCTGCAAATGATGACTGTCATTGTATTTGCGAACTTCCACCAGATGTGATGATATTGAGTTTAGAAATAAATCGATTAATATATTATCCATAATTAAAATTTTTTGGATGAAATCGATAACGAGATATAATATAACTGAAAGATTTTAAATAGAAAGAACTCGAGCTATACACTTTATCAGTTTATTATTTCTTGTATTTTTTTTTCTATACTTCAAATTTAATTCACATCTGATAATTGGAGGATAACTTTGCGTTAACTTTTTCAAAACTTTGAAATCTTTATCTTTCAAAAATAACTAATTCACTAGATCAAAATTTTCTTATTATTAGTTTATAATCCATAACTATCAATTGCACCCACCTCGTGTGATTCATATTATAAGATAAATGTGTGAAGTATTGATGATATGAAGTCACAATATATAGTTCAGATTAAATTATCTGTTTAAAATACTCCAATTCATACATTTATAAATATAAATGACATTTTTTTCTTTTCGCTCTGTAAATGGCGCGAACGTTCATGAACGAAAATGACCACTCGTCGGATATTTGATGAAATTTAACTATAGTATGTGCGATTTTTCTTTAAATAACGTTCAAAATTGGAATATTTTTTTGCATGATATGATATTTGATAAAAGTACAAGAAAATAACAAAAATTAAATTTCAAAAAATCGTATATAATGAATATTACTTTTAAATTTATTAAAATGTACAGTATATTTTTTAACCTATTTATAATTTAATGTAGTTGGAATTTCACCATGAACATTTGCCACTAAACTCATTAAACTGATTATATAGATCAAATTTAGGTAATAAGTTTTGGAAGATAAAAAATAATGAAGTAGGTAAATTGATGATAATATTGAAAATTATGATAATTATATGGGATGATTAAAAGTTCTTATAACAAATTAATCAATTTCTCAGAATTGAATAAAATTTTAAATTTGATGTAAATTTATCTTTAATATAAGAATCGAAGAGATATCGTGTCGAATATCGATCTCAAATATTTTTTTTGCGTAACGCAAAAACTTTCGATTTTTCCAAACTTTTTATTAATATGTCAAGAAATGACTATTTTATGGAATATAAATAATATACAATATTTAAACAATTTGTCAGACAAGTTATATTTTTTAATAAATTACTTATAATAGTTAGTTTTACAAAAACCTACAAATGACGTGATCCATTAACAGTTAACGATCGGCACTATTACATCTAAATCTATTTAATAAGCTGTATTTTTTTTGTACGATATTAAAAATTACAAAAACGGTTCTTTCTGATTATAAGTTTTAACTTGTTTATCTTCAAAATAATTCCAGAATTATTATTAAAAATCAAAAGTGATGCATTATTAAATCATAATTAGTCATTAAATACCTTTTTTTTATGATAATTATTTTAATAATGAAGATATTTTAATTATCATTTTTTTAACAAAGAAATTATATAACGAGGAAAAAAAGAAAAATTTTATTTAGGAATAATTGTTGATATTGTTTCAAAGTTAAAACAGTAAGCAATAATCAGATAACTCCGAAAACTCCGAAGAGATCATAATAATTTGACTCTAAATGTAAATGTGTAATACAAACAAATTTTATGATCTATAAATAAAATTCGCCGTAATCTATCGGTAAACTCCTGCTCGAAAGTTTTAACAATAAAGATAACAATTACAAAGAAAAATACAAACTAGTTCAAAAAAACTTGTAAAAAAAAGGTAAAAACTTGTTAAATTAAAAATATCTTTTTTTTTATATGAAACATGATACAATTAGAAGGTGAAGTAAAAATAAAAATAAGTTAAAAATAACTAAAATTAAACATATTTTTTTTTTTGTTGTTAAAAGAGAAATTTGGTTTAGAAGTTATCTCAGTTTCAGACAATATATACATTGTATTACTTAATAAATTATACTCTGAAATTCCAAAATGTCAAATAAAGCGAAGATTAATTGATTTAAATATTATTTACATTCGATCACATTTCACATTGAACTAATAAAGAATTTTTTAAAATTCGAATTTTATTTTGAATTCTTTCATTAATATAATAATAAATTTAATATTAATACATTAACTTAAGATACATCCATTTTTTCAGACATTTTTGTTTGCTTATGCACGGAATTTCCGTTTGTTACGAGAAGAAAAAAAAATGGCAATTATATCCGCTATTATAACTGCTTTTTCCATTGAATAATTTAAGTGCTAATACAGACAATTGTTTATCGTACATACGAATAAGTAAATATTCTTAGTGAATTGTACAACATAAGGAGTATCATATTAATTGAATATAAGTACATGATTAAAAAAACAATCCGAATATGTTCAATAATTATTGTTAAATATAGAACGGTATTACATGTGTAATATATTACATGATTATGTAAAATAAGGTTACAGTTACATATAAATTATTATGAGCGCGAAAATTTTTTATCGAATAATTATTTTAAATAAAAAAATTATTATAAAAAAAATAAACCAAAAAATATTCTTTTTTTTCTATTAAAAAAAAAAATTTCTTTCATTTACCTTTTTTAATTAATCCTTTGAAAGATCAATAAAAAGTCTTTTTTTGAGCACATAAAATATATTATAAAAAATATAAAATTTCACTTATTATCAATTGGCACTATAAAAATATATAAATCATTTTTTAAAAGTTAAAAGTGGCTTTTAAATATCATATACACTTAAGAAAATATTTAATAAATCGCTTGCGATTGCTGCGTCATCAACTACGCGATACAAAAAATCAATAAAACAATGGAGAAAACGATCACCAAAAACAAAGATGTCACGGGGGTGTGTAATGTTTTTTGTGGTTGAAATGAATCATTTGTTTATTATTATTTATTGCAATTTAAGTTTAATAAAATGGATAAACCTTTTTTTTTTTGAATGTTTCTTTTTTGCCAAGAATTACAAAAATATTCGCGTTACATGTTGTGCATCGGTCAATCTCCCTTCCGATTTAAAAGTATTACACATAATTTGATTTCACTGATTTAAACCTTCAAACGAATCAAACAATGAATAAATTTCGTTATACATGTGTTTTTATTTTCTCGAAATAATTTTATTTTCAAAAATTAAAAAAACGTAACATCAAAAATCTGAGACATTACCAATCTGAGG